ATGAGATCAAGTATGATAACAATAAAGATTCCAGAATCAATACCATGTGGCAGACAGAAAACAAATTTTGTAAGCCCAAACTTGAATATTTGTATCAAAAAGTTTACCTGGATTTCTTGGTTCTGTTCTTAAATGGGAAGAGTTTAGAAATCATTACTTCATTCTCTCAAGGAAAAAAGCTGAGCAAACTGAAAAGTCAACACCTTTCACATCCATGAGAGAACTGAAGTCACAGAGCAATAGATGACCACAAAACTGGAGGAACAGGCAAATACAGATCTCTTACTTACTAAGAACAGAGGACTGGAGTTGGTATCTAGAAGGAAAACAAGCAGTCATGGACACACTGCTGGTAGTGTAGTGTGGACCAGCTTGAGGATTAACAACTCCTGGGGCTCAATCTTAGGCACAGCCTAAGCACCTGTGGTCACCATCAAGCGCCACAGCCTCAGAAGGCTGAGACCTGCTCATGGGATTATAGACACTTCTCTTGCAGCTGCAATTACTACAACATTCTAGTTAAAACGGAGTTTCCAGCTGGGCTTGGTGATACAAGGCCTGCAAACCCAGCACTCTGAGAGGCTGAGGTAGGAGAATCACAAGGTCAAGCCCTAACTGAGTAACTTACCAAGACCATCTCAAAACAAAAACAACAACAACAACAAAAAAAATGGGTTGATGATGCAGCTCAGTGCAAAGGCCTGGGTTCAATCCCCAATGATTTAAAAATAAAAAATTCTACCTGGGCTATTCAAGAGGCTGAGGCAGAAAGATCCTGAGCTCCAAGCCAGACTGAGCTACACAGAAAGACAGCCCTAAAAAGAAAAAAAGAGGAGAGGAAAGGAGGAAGAAAGAAAAACAGGGAGAGAAGGGATACATGGAGGGAAGAAGGAAAAGAAGACGGAGAGAAGGGAAGAGGAAGAGGGTAAGGAAAGAGGATTGAGAAAGAGGTAGAGAAAGACTGAGCATGAATGCAAAAGCAGTTTCCAGAAACAAAAATAGCCAAAGCAATTGACTTCTCAGACCCTACAGATACACTACATAGCAAACATAGCTAGGTTTCCAGCCAGATAAACTTTACAAACATAATTCTTAAAATCTATGTATCTTAGTTCCTTTTATCCAGTATAACATATGTCTGCCTGTCAACAAAATTACAAGGCATAAAAGTCTGAAAAATAAAGCAAACAACACTCATATTCATAAATGGCAGACATTCTGGAAATATTTGACCAAGAATTTCATATGTAATTAATGTGCCAAGAGTTCTAATAGAAAAGTAGTTAATATGCAAGAATGGATGAATAATGAAAGCAATGATATTAAATTCTAAAAAAGGATCAAAAGGAAATGCTTAAAATCAAAAGCCCTAAGCACAAATGAAGAATGCATTTGATGGGCTAATTAGACGAATATAGATGAGAAAAAACTCGGTGAGCTTGAAGATATGTCAACAGAAACTTCTCAAACTGAAAATGTAATGAGGAAAGAAAATGAAACATTGCAAGAATATCTTAAGAACTGTGAGATGATAGTTTAACAATATATGCATTTTGGAACATCAGAAAATAAAGAAAAAGAATAAGTATTTCAATAACGTATTAGAATTTTCCAAAATTAATGACAAGCACAAAACCACACATGTAGGACACTAAGAAAATACTAATCAAAATAAAGAGTCCAATGTGCTGGTACACACTTATCACTCCAGCTACTGAGGAGGCTGAGGCAAGGAACTAAAGATCAACGTGGACAACATGGCTAGAGCTTATCTCAAAAAACAAAAATTAATTAAATATAGAAAAATCTATGTCTCAACAATTCGTAACTGCAGGAGCAACAATTCATTTCCTGCAGTTAACTGCAGGAAACCAAAGACAAAAAGAAAATCTTGAAAGAAGCCAGAGAAATTCCCACCTTACCTATCAAGGAACAACCATAAAAAGTACACTGAAAATCTCTTCACAAACCATGTAAGAAAAAAAAAAAGCAAAAGAGTGAAATATTTAATGTGTTGAGAGAAAATAACCACCAATCTAGAATTCTGCATTTTGCAAAATATCCTTTGAAATTGAAGGAAATGACCAGATTAAATATAAAACATAAAATTTCTAGAGGATAAGATTATAGCAGAAAATTCAGGCAACATTGCATTTGACAATAAATTTAAGGATTTAACAACAAAAGTATGATTCATGAAAGAAAAAAGTTTTATTTAAAAAAAAAACTTATGCTCTGTGAAAAAAAAAAGTTGAGAATGAAATGCCATAAACTGGGAAAAAATATTTGTAAAATACGTTTAATAAAAGTATATCCAAAATATACAAAGAACCTAAAAAAAAAAATATATATATATACACACACATACATACACACACAAAGAACCTTTAAACTCAACAAGAAAACAATCCAACCCCAAAAAGAATAAAACTACTGAGGAGACACCTCATCACAGGTGATATATAATGATATATTAGTGCATGAAAAGATGCTCAACATCTTAAATGACTGCAATCTAAAACAATGTACTACTATACACATATTATAATGACTAAACTCCAAACACTGACGAAACCTAATGCTGACAAGGATGTGGTACAGCAGGAACTCGCACACACTGCTGGTGATAATGCAAAGTGGTACAGCCACGTTTCAAACTCCTCAGCAGTTTCTTACACAGAAAAATGTAACATATATGATCCATCAATCATCCTAAGTTTTTATCTAATGAATTGAAAACTTATATCTACACAAACCTTAACAAGAATGTTTATTCGTAATTGTCTAAGACTGGAAGTGACAGTGACCACAAGCCCTTCAAAAGATGACATAAGCAAATTATGATGCATCCAAGATACCTATATAATAGAATATTACTCAGCACTAATAACAAAACTTCAAGTATATCCAGTATACCTATATAATAAAATATTATTCAGCACTAAAAGAAATAAGCTATACAGCCACAAAAGAGATAGAGGGGACTTATACTAGTGTACTACTTATACTAAGAGGTTGGTCTAGAAAACTAAATACTGATTCCAACAATTTGAAGTTCTGGAAAAAGCAAAACTATAGGGCAATTTAAAAGATCCGTCGTTCTCAGGAGTTGAGAAGGAGGTAGAGGTGAATAGTATAAATACATGATATTAAAAATTGACAAAACACTACAGAATGTATTATATGAAGAAGTGGTCCTAGCATGAATATAGACTTTGGTTAATAACACAAGTAATGTGTGTATACTAGCTCATTATTTACAATCAATGAACAAACTAATGCATGATGTTAACAGAAGAAACTATGAGACAGTACAGCTCAAGGGTATATAAGAACTCTGTACTTTCAGATTTAGGCTTACAGAAATAAACCTAAAATTGCACTTTTAAAAAGTCTTAATTTTTTTAAAGATTCCTATATCACCAGGTAATCTGCAGAAAGGGGAGGATTTAACAAGGCAGCAAACCCAGGACCTAGGTGCTGTGCTGCTAAACTGTATCCCCAACACACTGGGTGATTTTATTAATCTGCCTAGAGAAAAAATTCAGCTCTAACAGTTAAAAATTTTGTTCACCATTAACTACGAGGAAAAACACTAATCACGCAGCAAACAGCTTTCCTGTAATGTTTTTAAAGGGCCTTCCCTTGTACAGAGTTCCCCTACTCCCTTCTACATTGGATTTCTACTCTGAAAAGTCCAACATGACAACACTGATGATATGAAGGCCAAATAAAATTTGAAGTCAGTCAGTCTGCCTTTAGGAAATAAATGCAGTGCCTTTCATGAAAAGGAAGGAAATGGTGAAGCAGACTCCTGAATTTGAATGCCCTTTGTAGATTCACCACACTGTAAATCTCACACCTCTCTGTTGATGAGACAAGCAAGAGACACAGTGTATTCAGCAAAACATAGTGAGCAAAACAGGAATATAGCTAAGCAGAAAAGGAAATTAAGGTTGCAAATGGAATAAGAGTTGCTTCATCAGCTGACCCTAAAATAGGGGAGCTGTTCTAGATTACAGCTCAAAGTAATCACCGTCTCTAACAAGAGGGAGAAATAAATAGAAGAAATGAGAAAAAAGGACATCAAGAGCCACAGAATCAACAGAAACCAGGATCTCTTGTGGGGAGCACCCAGTGGGAAGAAAAGGCAAGACCAGTGAGTAAGCAGGGGCACTGATTGGCAGTACTCTGTGGGCAGAGGTTCAGTGATCTGCAGCTCTCCAAGGAACAAGCTCTAGTCTAATTTGAGTCCACTCACAGGCGGTCCCAGCCAGTCTTGCCTGACAGTGGTAAACAGTGGCAAGTGTAAAAGCTGCTCAGGTATGCAGAGTCTCAGTCAGAGCAGAACCCATGGTGCAGGGAGAGCTCCTTGGCTCCTCACCGCTCCTTCGTCCCATTCATCTGGGCTCCCAAGCCCTCAGTGTGAACTCATCAGATGCCAAACAAGTGAAAATAAAAATTCGATTCAATTTTGCTCAACTGTTACACATTAGAATACATGCAATAGGAATATCAGACTATTGATTCATTCCTGGAAATAGCTGAACAAATCTGAAAGAAATTATCAGCACATTTTCTGACACAGCTTTTTTGTATTGTGCCACATAATAATGCAGTTTCAAATAGGACAAAATACAGGAGAAATAGGGAGAAAATATAAATGTTTTAATAAGACAAAATATTACACTACCCTTTTCCTCTGATCACCTAAATATTGTAATTTTGTTATCAATTCCAAAAATTAGCCCCCAAAATGGTTCTTGAAGAGAATATTTATCTGAAAGAAATGGAGTAAAACATTATAAGTATGGTCCATCTAAAATGGAAAGTTGACAACTGTTTAAATAAATTAAACAACACTATCTTCCTTTTGCAGCAGTATATATACATCAAAAGTAAGTGTTTTTGATTTTCCAACTCACCATTTATCAAAGAAATTACAGAAACTATAAAGCTGTAGGATCAACACTTTAAATAAGAATTCATACTCCAAGGAATTAAGAATCTTTCAACTTTTATTTCTAGGATACATTCATCTCAAACCTTTTTCTTTACAATTTTCCCCCTAAAAGAAATGAATACAATAAAAATATAATCCAACTACCAGTAATGTTTGTAACCAGAAAAGAATCTAAAATCTCTGGTGTGATAATATAGGACCTTTTTTAAAAAATATATAAACTTCATACCAGAAATAAAGCCTGAATATTCTCTTTCTTTAAAAATATAATTTTCCTTCTTTGCTCTTCCATGTAAATCTTATAACCAACCATTTAGTTCTAAAGTCTACATTTAAATCAGCAATTATAAGACTATAGCAGGATTTTCTTTTCCTGCTTTGTATCCTGTCTTGTATTGTGCATCAACTAATGTCCCAAGTCTTTAAAATATGAAATACCACTGGGTTGTAGCAAGATTCTTCAAAATATACTAGTCATATGGGGACAAAAAATCCCCATTAGCAAACCGAAACCTAAATTACATTTTATCCTGTTTATGAAATTAGAAAATGTATACAAAACACTTTTGCAAAATGTAAAGCTCTAATGGAAAACTTTTTTTTAAAATCTTCTCTGACTAGAAAGGCTGCTGACTGGGATAGAATGGTAGGATCATGAAGGCTCTGTGAATCCACTTTTTTTTTTCTGCAACTATTTAGATGGAGGGGGTCATTATAAACTACAAAGAGGCTGGAGTATGGGTACAAAGATATTTCACAAAGACTTAATTACAGTGACATGACTGTTCTTCTTAACTGATAATTAAGACAAAGGAGTATAGGAATAGCTCTCTTTAGATCAAAGCTTTGTACCGAACTCCAAAGTCAGGTCATCTGTCACTAACTAGGAATAAGAAATAAAAGTCAGGCAGCTTTCCCCCCACTTCTGGCTAGTTCCCTCTATGTAGAGCTTCACTTTTAATCCATTTTAAAACAGTATTGCAAAGCCCAATATACATGGGGATGGCTCCCTTAGTTTAGCTAGATAACAAAAAGCCTCCATGGGAACAACATACCTCAACCACAGAATGAAATCCTCCTAGCTCCAAATAAACAGCATTATCCATAACATCTTGGGTTATTTTGTGGAACACAAGAAGCTAAGCAAAGGATTAAAAAGTTTGGTAACAAACACAATTCCAAAGAGGGATTTCTTCTTGTTTGCTACAATGTAGGAAAAGGCTTCTTTGCATGTCAATTTAACAAAACTATAGACAGGCCTGTGAAGACAAATCCAGCAGTGAAAGGCTGTAGACTTGGTCATATGTACCTGAATAGGGATGACCAAAAGAAAATGTAACAATGTAAAGGGTGAGTGAACTGACAAGCAAGAATAAGTCACTACCTAAAAAGGATTTGCTAACAGTTGGGCAAGTCTGAAGGCTCCTTTCCTGGGAGTTCTAAACACTTTCCCTCACCTCTCTGGGATCAGACGCGGCTTAGCTAACTGGGTGTATACTTCTCTTTGGACATCTGATGCACTTACCCTTTTCCCCAAGAGAATATTCAGGCCAATTTTGCTTTTTCCTTGTTTCCTCATTAGTAAGAATTATAAGTTAACAATCTGGGATATCCCTAACTTTTATGAGGTATCTTACGTTAAGTACAAGAAACCTCAAGTGATGAGAATGTAGAACTTAAATGCCATTTACAAAGGAGTCAAACCCATCTCACACTTCAATGACTCCAAAGTATTAAAAATTGGTAATGATATGTTAAAAAAAACTATTCTTGCGATGACAACTACTGGACTGTAAACCAATTTTAAAATTCCATGTCATCAAATTCCATGAATTAACATGTCTGTATATTCTATATACAACAACAAAATAAAATTCTTTAAAATACAACATATTTTAAATCAACTTACTCCCTTTTACAATCATACTTTTAGTCTAACATTTAAAATATGAATCTGAATTATCAATGAAAACAGTGGATCGAATAACAGTATAATTTAAATGAAACAATAATGCAAGAAAAAGCATTTAAAACTCAGAAAATAACATAATACTCTGGAAATCATTTTATATGCCTAATGTGTTCAGAAATAAACCTCACATAAAACATTGTGACACTGGACAACTCATGCCTTTCTCATTTCATCATCCACATGGTGAGCCTACAATATTTCTACCGAGGTTCACACAGTAACTAAATATTCTAATAGGAGAAATGAATAGGAAGTAACACATATTACTATCCCAGAATTTGTATGTGGTCCCAACAGTTGTTTTGTTTGATACTTAAATTATAAAATAGTCCAATCTTTTAGAAGCAAAGAAGGGCAGGGGCTTAGATCAACTCATATACATTGTGCATTAAATATTATTAGGTTAAGAAAGTAGGGGAAAAATGGAAGGGTACAGTAAATTTTATCCATACAATTCTATTACATTAGATAGTACTATCAATAACATTTACTTATTTAACCAGGTTATGAAAGATTGAAGAATTACTACCAGAATTTGTATCGATTTCATATATTTGTATATTTACTTGAAGAATCTTTAGTAACAACTGTGTATTTCTTCCACACTGTTGGACTTTTAAAAATACATGTCAAAATTAATTCATTAATCAGCATATGAAAGATAAATTATGGTACTATTCTTTTGGTTTTCCTATAAAATGTCTTTGAACCTATTAACTTGCACTCTTCGTGCACTTAAACATAGTAATGTTTCACTTGTGAACATACAAAATGAGAGACTAATACCAGAAAGGAATTAGACAATAATGAGAATCAATGACAAAACATAACAATGACAACTGTTCTTAAGTAATTTATTTTTAAATTATAAGATTTACAATGTCTTATGTAAAATATCATAATGGAAATTAAACCAAATCAATAAATCAAAAGATAAAGAAAATTTAGTTTCTTTGAATATCAGTATTTAAACCATCTTTATAAGGATCTGATGTCCCAACCACATCTTATGTAAAGTATGCTAGTTTCAAACATTTCACTTGCAGGTTTAATTTCTCATTTTCAACTTTTATGAACTGTAATGTATTTATTTCAAATCTTCTTATACCTAGTATTTATACTGCAACAGCAGCAAATCCCACGTGTTCAATCAAATGTGGTACTGGGGCACAGCTCTGAGCTCTTAGCCGCAGACAAATTATACACTGCATTCAGTATAGTAAAGTACACTATATTAGGCATGGCGCAGAGTTTAGTACACTTATTGCAGAGTTGGTACTTCTTTCCCTCTGAACTGAACCCGTTGAGCTTCCGAGCAGATATATTACTGCTGTGGATAGTATGATTGCTGTGGGGGCTGAGGGAAAGGGTATGAAGGCTGCTGGGGTCCTGGGTATGGAGCCTGCCCAGGGCTCTGATGATACACTGGTGAGTATGGCATATTATACTGGCCGTAGGCATAAGGATTATAGCCCATGGGCATGGGCATTTGACAATACCTAATGGGGAGAAGAAAACAAAACAAAACAAAACAAAACAAAAAATGGGATTGGTAAATCAAATACGAGAAAATGAGACATACAATAATTATTCTAAGGCAATTTTTTTTAAAAACAATCTTTCTCTATTTTTCAGTCTATTAAAAAACAGAAAAGGTTCAAACTATTTGTTAGAGAAAAGCATTTTCATCTTATAATTAAAATGAAAGAATATCATGTTTAATATTAGCTAGAAAGTAACACTAAAGGAAATAACATTAAATATTCAACTATTAAAGACCCATCAATTTTATGTGACAAAACTAATAACCTGAATATATTCCTTTCTACAAGACATAGTATTCACCACAGCATATACGTATACATGTCTGTATGTGCATGCATACACACACGCGCGCGCACACACACACACACTATTTATAAAGTTCTAACATTTGGAAGAGTACACTTATTAAATAAAATTTAAAGCACATCTTTTTAAAAAAAGTCAAGCGTCTATATTTTGAAGAGTAAGAAATTACCACAAGGAAGCCTTGCTGTAGGTGTGGCTTAGAGTAGAGCACTTCCCTAACTTCCCTAGCATACGAAAGGCACTGGCCATACCAAGGGAAAAGAAAAAAAAACTGCCACAGAGAAAGCTGACCTTTAAGTAGGCATACTCCATAGCTAAGTAATTTTCTATTTGATCATTTATTAAATGTCAAGGCTTCAAAGGATAAGTATATAAACAAGGCCTTATTGGTCTTGCTATCCTAAACTCAAAACTGCTTATCACCTAAACAAAAGTAGCTCCGAGGAAACATACTGAATTCTACACAGAAGAATTTAATACAATATAAATGCCGCAGAAGAATTTAATATAAATGCAACAAGCAAAAAATAAAAACATAAATTAAAATAGTCTAGCACAGGCAAAGACTTGCTGAATAGAACTCCAACAGCACAGGAAATAATACCAAGAATCAACAAAGGAGACTACAATAAATTTAAAAACTTCTGCACAGCAAAGGAAATAGTGAATAGCCTACAGAACCAGAGAAAATATTTGTTAGCTATTTTTCTGATAGACAATATATCTCTAGAATATATAAAGACCTCAAAAAATATAAAACCCAAAAAAACACATAACCAAATTTAAAAGGCAGGGAAGGGATGAAGAAACCCTTCTCAAAAGAAAAACTATAAATAGTCAATAAGTACATGACAGGGGGCTGGGGATTTAGCTCAGTGGCATAAGCACCTGCCTTGCAAGCAGGCAGTCGTGAGTTCTATCCCTGGTACCGATAAAAAAAAAAAAAAAAAAAAAAAAAATATATATATATATATATATATATATATATATAATCAAATAAGTACATGACAAAAAATGTACATCTTTAGCCATTAGGGAAATACAAATTAAAACTAATTTAACCCCAGTTAAAATGGCTATTATCAAAAATGCATAAAACAATGCTAGCATCAAAGTAGGGGCGTAAAGGGAGGAACCCTCTTGCACTGTTGGTGGCAATGTAAACTAGTATATAACTACTATAGAAATCAGTATGGAAATTCTTCAAAAACTAAAAATAGAAATTCTATTTGACACACCTACCCCTCCCCTGGGTATAAATCTGAAAGAACTAAAGACAAGATACTATTTAAGTATTGGGAACTGCACTGCTTTGTTTAAAGCAGTGCAATTCCCAATACCTAAGTTGTGGAAACAGCCTACATACCTGTTAACAGATGAATGGATAAAGAAATGTACACAAATGAAACATTCAGCCATAAGTAAGGATGAAATGTCATTTGCTGGAAAATGGATACAACTGGAGACTATGGTGTTAAGTGAAATAAACCAAACTCAAACAGAAACACTGCAGGGTAAATAAAAAAGGGAGAAATTAACAGGAAACTAGAGGGTAGACTTCATGGGGGGCTAGGAGAAGAGGAAGCAAAGGAGGTAACAAAGTTGAAAATCAAGACATATTAAAGGAATATACCAATTTCCCAAAAGAAATCTCACAATTCTGTATTACGATGCTCTAATAATAACAAAAACAAAATTTAAATAGCCTAGCAAAGCATTACTCAACAACTCAAAGGGCTATGACATTATTTTCATTTCTATGTAAGCTGACAGTGACACATGAATAGCCATCACACCTCCACTTTGGGAAGGAGTGCTCCTGACTTTAAAAATGTTAACCAGAGCTAGAAACAACAGAAGCCTATTGTTAGGCTATACAATGCTGCATCCTTACCCGGGATATCCTGGATAGGTGGGGTAGGGTGGTCCCTGGGCCTGTGGAAGAGGAGCTGAGCCAGGGGTTTGTGAGGGAGCTGGGGTCGGAACTGAGGTTACAGTCCCAGTCCCCGCTGGAGCTGGAGCAGTAGCAGAAGAAACTCGATTTGCTGGAAGCACAGGAGGTGGAGGCCGGGCTGGGGGTTGGGGCTTAGAAGGCTGTAAGAAAAGGCGAGCACTGACTACAAAGTATTTCACGGTTCTCTCAAGTTGCTATTCATTAAATGAATAAATGAGGACATGAGAAAGTTCAGTATCCAACTAGAAATTTAATTACTCTAGAAATGTATCACAGTGGAAGAATAAGCCTCTAATTTATAAAATTTAGATTAAAGCCAGAATCTTTGCACTGAGCTATTATCTCAGCCATTTTTTGAGATACAGTCTAAATTGCTTAGGCTGATACCTAGTAACAATTTATTGCTTCCACCAGCAGCTACATTTTAAGCTTAAGACACTTTTTGACTATAATTTCTTCCTAGTCTCCAAATTCTTTACAAAAATTTTCAAAGAGCTAACAACTTTTAAAGTATAACAAAATAATCACACATCTACTTATGAAATTTAATAATTAGCTCTTTTTCTGTATACTATAAATCTATATATACTATAAATTTAGAGGCCTTTTCAAAGTGTGTTGAAATTTCAAGACAATAGTCCAACAGATCTCAGCGCTCAAGTCCTAATAAAAATATTCTCCTATATAATCACAATAATATTTTTACCCTCAGAAAACTAACGATTATTCCTCTATATTATCGAACATCTACACTGGATTCATATTTCCATATTTAACACCAAAAAGTTATAAAAGCTATTTCTAAAAACCAAAATCAAGATCTACATACTGCAGTTGATTATAATTAATCTTTCCATTCTTTTAATCAAGAATACGCCTTCATCTATTTTTTCTATTTTAGAAAAGACCAACCTAGGCATTCATATTAATGTCCCATTTTTTAAAGTATGTCCAAATGTTTCTTTATGCCAATGTTTTAACTTATTTAAATATCATTGCATTTACAAACAGAAAATTATTTGAAAGGTTTAATTAGACTAGGTTTAAACATTTTTCTGCCAAGAATTTATGAGTGATGCTGTGTTTTACATACTTCAAACCACCAGATGGTTAACTACCTGATGCGGGCACTGACTACTAGATCCCGCCAATGTAGTCTGCTCTATCCTTCCGAAGAGGCAAGCTATCAGTGATAAATGTAAAGCGTCCATTTTAGAAGTGTGTTTTGCTTACTAACCGGCATGGTTCTTGGAGCTGGAGTTGGAGGAGCTGGTGCATGTCCGCCTGCTGGAGAAGACTGATACGCAGGTGTAGGAATTGAAGGAGCACTAGGTTCCCTGGCAATGCTTTGCTGCAAATCTCTTTTTAAAGACAGTGTCAGAATTTACAAAATGGAAAAAATAAAACATATAGAATGTTTTCTTATTTTTCTTTTCTATATATACCAAAAAGAAAATGGTCCCCAAGCAATATGGCATTTTCGAATACACGACACTTTTACTCTTGACTGGAATATAAATCTTCCTTCTTCCTACTTTTTAATAAAATGGAGTTATATCTTACTCTATTTCTGCTAAGTAGGAAAAAAGAACATGGTCATCAAGAAAGGAACATGTTAAACTAGGCAAGTAGTCCTAAATGACTGCATACTCTAATAAGACCCCAGCCAGGAAATCTTAAAAAACTACTAATATAACCTACCCAGAAAACTACAACTATTCATAGTCATGTAGCAAATATTTTAATCAGTATATGATATACAGAAAATAAAACAATAGGTGACTGTGCAACTACTTTGCAAAGACTTAGATAATTATCTGAGGATATTCAAGGAAGTATCACTAGATACAGTATTTAATTTTCTGGTATTATTAGGGGTTGAACTCAAAGTCTTTGCTCTGAGCTATATCCCAGTCCAGTTTTGAGATACAGTCTGTCTAAAGTGTCTGGTCTGGGCTCAAATTTGTGATCCTTACCCTCCCAGAATGCTTGGATTATAGGTGTACACCATCATACCTGGTTAAAAAAATGTGACCCTGAGATATTTTATGTTTAAAAACAACTAATAATCTATTACTAAATTAAACTCACAAAAGATATTCTGTTGAAAAGACCAAAAAACAACATTAAGTATTAGGTGAAAATTTTAAAGTCTTCTCTAACAGCAAACTGGAATTATCTCAAAGATCATATAATACTTAAGGCAAAATGCACTGTAGTAATACAGGATGTTGACCAACTTACAACACTAACATAAACAGTAAATATATGTTCCAAAAGGTCTGTAACAGTACTTGTTGCCCTGATTTAACAATTAACAGCCAACCCTTAAAACTATTACACATACATACATGCACTCAAAAGAGTCCTAGTCACTGTAGACACAAAGAAAATATGCATTCATTTAAAAAATATACATATAAATAATGTAAGTAACTGCTTAAGATAAGCTAGAAGGCTTTACTCAGTATTAAAACTCCAAATGGTCAGACTTTGAAATATGTTTTTTTTAAAAATGTATATTATAAAGCCTTAACACACAGCTTTCTTTTCCTTTGACAAATTCAAAAGATGGCTGTAGTAAATACACATTGATACACCAAATGAGAATTTCCTGGCCACTTAGGACAATATAAATCAAAGCTATTAAAGCAAAACAATAATAAATGCCATCAGTATTTCTATGCCCAACAACCATGATTACTGACACAAGTATTTAAATCATTTATGAAAACAACTCACACTAAAACATTCTTTTTATACTCTAAGGATTATGCTCTAAGGATGAAAGGTTTTATGAAAACAAATTAAAAATCAAAACCTCTAGCAGACTGGTATATCAAAAGGACATAGCAGTATTCAGGGAAATGAAAATTAAAATCAAGTGCATTATCTACATATCCACAAGAAAAACAGAAAAAATGTACAGCAACCAAAATTCTCATCTATTGCTATAAATTAAGACAACCACTTTACAAAACTGGCATTCAACTAAAGCCGGAAATATCTTATGACCCAATAATTCCACTTCTAAGCATGGCGACTGAAATATCTGAAATGCTGCTAATGTGAATTGAAAAATACACAAATGTGCTATAAAAAATACATACTGGATTTTGCTTAGTGTGGGGGAAAAAAATAAGTATCTTTCATAATTTTTCACTAATAATAGTACTGATAGTATTTTGGATATTCTTAAATTATTGAAAATAATTTCACCTGTTTGACATTTTTGCTGTGTCTACTAGGAAATTTTACATTTTCAACTGCATTGTCATTGCTAATATATTACCAAAGAGACAGATCTTTGCTTATTTAACCAGCTCTGAATATTTATTTCTATTCTTTTACTGTTACCAGTGATCTTGGACAACTATATTTTACATTTATGGCAGCACTGTTTTTTTGTTTGTTTGTTTTTTGTACTAGGGATCAAACTCACAACCTTGTGCTTGCTCGCTTAAGCCACCGAGCTATATCCCTGACCGGCAGCACTATTTATAATAACCTGAGCTAGAAACTAGCAACAATACAGTAACTTACCATATGTTCACATAATAAAATGCATTCACAAATGAGAATAAAAGATCTATAAACACACAATTTAAATGAATGAATCAAGTATAATGTTGAGTGAAACTCAATCCCCAAAAATATATGGTTCTATTTATATACCATGCCAAAAAAAAAAAAAAAAAAAAAAGTAAATCTGTGCTCTCCTAAATTGGAATGCCAGGTGGTTCCCTAGGGAACAGGATAATGAATAGAGAGATGTATTAGTGATGTTCCTGAGGTGCTACAAATTTCCTATGTATTGATCTAAGTGGTGATTTCCTAGATGTAATCAGTTTGTGAAAAGTCAGTAAGATCTTTACTTGTGTATACTTTTATAATGTACATATTCAATAAAAATGTTTTAAAGAACTTAGATTGTGAATATTGATGATTTTAACACAGTAATTCCTCAGACTTTTAAAAGCTAATACTAGTACATGGGCTACTCTTTTATCACTCATTCACTTTTTAGTTATTGAGCTGAAAATTGACTTTGTTTACAGTATAAATTCAGAAATATATGTGTGGATATTAAACCTAGTTTTCAAACTAGTTTGAAATTTGAAAATAAAAATATTAAAATATTTCTTCAAAAGAACATATAGAGCTTCCTTGGGCATAAACAAACCAATTTAAATACTGTTATTTTCTTCCATTTTACATAAAAAGCATATTCTCTTCTTCACCCTTTATCTTTTTTTACAGTACTGACCTTAGAGATCATTTCATATCAGTAAAAAGAAAATGTCCCCTTTTATAAAACCAAGTATATGACATAGTTTTTCATTGTACAGCAATAGCTTTATTTTACCAGTTCTTTGACATATGGTTTCTTCTTCAATAAGCAATGCAGAAATAAGTTCATAAATGTCATTCCTAGCACATGTTAATACAGCTCAGAAATTTCCTAAGTCCTATTTCCTGTGTTCTCCTTCCTCAGTTCTATTTCCTGAATCCTACTTCCTGTGTTCTCCTTCCTAAGAACTATTTCCTGAGTGGTGCTTCCTGTGTTCTACTTCCTGAGTCCTATTTCCAGAGTCATACTTCCTGTGTTCTCCTTCCTCAGTTCTATTTCCTGAATCCTGAATTCTACATCCTGAGTTCGATTTCCTGAGTTCTACTTCCTGAGTTCTATTACCTGAATCCTACTTTCCAAACTCCAAAAAACAGAATACCTACATTAAAAGCTGTTTTGAGTTTGTAATTTTAACATTTATAGCTAAATTGCCCTATGCAAGAGTTATACTATTCTGTATCTCATGGGCCAATAAAGCACAGTGTCAGACCTGCAGACTTCTACCACTCTGAAAAAGGTTATTTTAGAATAATCTGTATTTGATAGGGAATGGGGGTTCTTAAAATGTTTAAGAGATACTTGTCTGCAAAATTTCTCTCACATCCCTTTCTTTCACAGTTTTCCACTGGATTTGTTTTGCGGTGTAAAATGAACCCTGGGGCCTTTGCTCTGGGATATGTCCCCAGTCTTTTTTTTTTTTTTTTTGTCTTTTTCCTTTTTATCAGTACCAGGGATCGAACTGACGACTGCCTGCATACAAGACAGGCGCTTATGCCACTGAGCTAAATCCCCAGCCCCCGGTCTTAATGTTTTTTATTTTGAGACAATGCTTCACTAAAGTCACTAAGTTACTCACACTGAGCTTGAACTTGCAATTTTCCTGCCTCAGCCTCCCACGGTGCTGGAATTACAGGGATGTACCACCACACCTAGCCTTCTCAATAATATCTATGAATTCTTCAAAACAAAAAAAAAGTAAATTAGTCTTTTGCCATCAGTAAGTTTCAAATACTGTTTCTCTGGTTTGTTGTATCTTGTCTCTGTTATCATGTTGAAGGGTAGTTGTTGTAACTCACGGTAAAACATCTGCCCAGAATTTTTGTATGTTATCTGATAACATTATTTTGGTGAATATTCTTCAGCTATTAGGTTTTGCTAAATTTTTAAAATTTTTTTCACTTTTATTAACAGACTACCTTTGTATCAATACTGGGTCAACTCTAGTGATTACTCAACATGAAATAAGTTCTACATTTCCAGTCTCGCTTTCTCAGAAAGAAATTTTGCTGACATTTTCTGAGCTGCTTACCCTGTCTTTCCCATGTTCTTTACTTTTTGTTTTACATAAGGTACTTACTTGCCTCTTCAAAGTAAACCGCTTCTATTTGTTAGCACTTCCAGAGTTCTGCCACCAAGAACTGTTTTCTTTTGTGACCTCTTACATCTAGAGTTTCTGCTCCTTTTCATTCTTTTATTACCAGATCTTGCAGCTGTTTGTTACTTTGTAAAATATTCCAATGAAAAGAAGCAAAAGTGGTATATCACACTACCAAGTTTACCCTCAAAGTCTAAGAACAATTTGATATACAAAACAACTTACTTTAAGAGTTCATCTCTTTCTGTCTTCCGTGCAAATACTATATCACTGCATTTATTCTGGAACCTGACCAAGATTTCAGTCAGCTCATTATAGAACTATAAGCAAAAAACAAATGTAAGTAATAAGTAAGAACAGCATGTTAACATAGGAAGCAACACCATCTAAAGTTAATCTGGCAATGATGGTTAAAGCAGAAAAAAAAACTTTCATGAAACATAGTCATACCACACAGTAAATCCAACAACTTAATGTTAAAAATCAACTAAGCTCTATAAGAAAGATAAATATATTATTGTTACAGAACACTGTCATCAAAAGTTAAATGATAATTAAATTTCATGATCATAAGCATGTTTCCAATTTCTACAGTAAAATCAACTCACTATTAACTAATGTCACTAGAGCTAAGGCAAAAAATTATATTTGTACATTTACTACAAAAATAAAGCTATCATGTCAGACACTTAAAAGAACTTCCAAAGGATTTCTGGAGTTTTCTTAGCTCATCTATTAGAACAAAGCATTTAATCCAAACTGAAATGGTATTTTACTACCCACTATCCTTTCTATGTACAGGGCTTTATAATGTTTTTAATCTCTCTTCAGAAGGTTTTACATTATACCTACTACATGACTTCACTGTAGTCAATGACTAGTATGAAGCACCAAAAAGAAATTGTGCATCTGAAAAGCTTAAAATTCACTTGTTCCCTCAAAAGCTAATGGTAAAACACAAATAAACATTTTTTCTAAACATTTTAATGGACAAGGCAAGAAAAGTACTCTAAGTGTGTTTACTAGCACTCTGACACTTAAGCAGAGCACATGTTTGTCTTTACCAAACTACCAAAACAGAATATAGAAGTCACATCCTTCTTTCTACCACCAATCTGCTATTACTACTACTTTACCATCATAATTCACTCAAACTGATCAGCTTCCTTAACTCTTGAAGAGGTGTCAATGGCTTTTGACATTTCTGTATTAATATCCACTATCAGGAATATTTATATCCCTTTTCTGCCAACTGAAATATATAATTCATTCCTCAAAGTTTTAAGGAAATGTTGCTGTATCTACTTGGCTTACTCCTAAAACAAACCATAAAGAGCAAAAGGCTTTACAGGCTAACAAATTCAAAGCAAGGAATAATTTGGTCTAACCAGAAATACCAATTAACTTCCAAACTACACTTTTACATCTATATTTGTTTGATCTTGTTTCCTTTATTTATATGTCATACCTTTGTGCCCTCCTTCAAATTAGCTACAAGTTCAACAAAGTTGTCATATGCAGTAGCTAAATTCTTCAAAACTTCTTCTCTTAAGTTAGCTTCATTGTTAGATTGTTTCATTTTTGAAAATTCTTGGTGTGAGACCTTGTTAAAAGATAAACATACTGTAATTTATATTCACTTATAAAGCTAATACAATTTATAACTTTTTTTGGTAACTTTTCTAACTGAAAACTATGATTAATATATATGCAGAATTACCAGGAATACCTAATATCTCTTGAAGTTGTACAATGATTTATGCCTTACATAAAAATATCACAAATCCAATGGGTATCACAACCAATAATGACTACAGCTTTCAGTTTACACGTAGGACAAATAACGTATGAAAACTCTTTTACTCTTTTAGCATGACATATTACATGTAACATTCAAAAGCAGAAAACAAAGTTTGATTTTACATATTAACTACTAGATGGGCAAACTGTCACATCTTCTCAGTAAACACTAATTTGTAATGCAAATACTAACTTCAAACACCCAAACACATTCAGTTTTGTATAACTTGATTAGAGTCCATTACATATTAAGCCATATAATTAATTACAAGAACTAAGAATTCCAACTAATTCTGATTGGTCTCTAAATATTACCAAAAAATGAATCTTCTAAAAATTTGTAAAAGCCTAAAATATCTGAAATATTAAGCACTTCTAACGAACCCTAACATTTAAGTCATAAAGAGTAGCTTTGTTCCACACATTTTTTTAAAAACCAATGTGTGACAAATTAAATTTTGTAAAGATGCATTATTATTTCACAGTTAACTATAGATACTCTAATTTCATTCTACTAAATGGACATAAATTTCATACAGCCAGGCATACCCTTTCTGTAATTTTTAACACAGCCTATTAAATATGTTTCACCTGAATATTTTTTAGAAGTTCCTCCTGTTTCTTTAGAGACTCCTGGACTTTGGTTGTAAGACTTCCATAGATTCGATCCAGTTCAGTGACAGAAAGAGCTTCTTCATTAATCACACCATCTTGAGCCAAAGCTGTCAAAAACTTGCTTGTCATATCAAAATTCACTGACTTAAGATCATTCTCAAGATTCTCTCTTTCCTTCTTTACTTCATCAAGATTTGTCAATAAGGATTTTAAGACATTTACAACCTAAATAATAAAAAAATACTTTAATTGACCAATAAAAGTTGATTTCAAAAAGACAATGATACCTGAAAGCTAACTAAAGATCAGAGAGAGATGACTCCTCAGAGAGCCAAGTGTAAAATTATAGAACAGGTTTATTTATTGATATTGGCATCTTTAGTTGATCCAGTATTATTATAGCAACAATAAAACAGGTATACTTTACTAAATACTATATGCTATGTGCTAAAGAGTTCACAAATATGACCTGAAGTAGTTCTTACAATATCCTACAGGGTATATTTATTATCTATTCTAAAGATGGAAACATTGAGTGTAAGACAAATTACGTAACATAATTACATAGCTAGTAAGAGACAGAGGAACAGTTTGATGCCTAAGTATGGCTAACTCCAAAACCAATCTCTTAACCACTCTACACTATTCTGCCACCTTGCAGTGGCTTTGAGGTCTGTAAAGTTACCATGTTGGCAAGACAAATGATACCTTACTTTGCACAGAGAGAGATTCACAGGCACAAACATGAAGACACAAAGAGATACGAAGAGAGCACGCTAGATGAAAAAATTGGGAGAGAAACAAGCAAGAGCTACTATAGAAAATGTGTGCCATGGTTTATGTAGGTGGCCCCCAGGCCTCATGCCTTTACATTGCACATCTGTGATTGGTTCATTGTATAGTGCTTGGATTGATGGTGTCGGTGCTACACCCACATAGGGGTAGAGCCAGGATATGATGTAATGGCAGGAAGAAGCTGTGTCTTGCTCTTTTGCCTATTTCCTTCTTGCCGTTTGCAGTCTGCCCTGGAGCCAACTGAGTATGGACTGAAACTTCCAAAAGCTGTAAGAAATAAACCTTTCCTTTCCCAATTTTTGGCATCAGGTATTCTGTCTCAGTGACTAGTAAAAAGTAACTAAGATAATGTGTTTATATGCTGAAAGGGAAAAATGGTTATTGTACATACCTTCATATTATTAAGAGCCTTACCTCCTGTCTTTAGGCACTCTCTTCCTTATATTCACATGATTCATAAATATTCCTTAGTGTTCAAGTGCTCGCTAATCCTTTCAAGTGGCCCCTTCCACTCACATCTCTTTGTATCCTGCCAGGGCCACAAGGAAGAATACCAACCCCACACTCCCAATCTGCTTGCTCCAGGGGTGCTCACAAAAAGCAAGTGGGGGAACAGGCAAAGGAAGATGCAGTGAAGCCCACCTATATTTCTTCTCACCAGCAGCAATTCCAGCTCCAGGGGACCTCCCCACCAACCACCCTTTCTGAAAACTGCTGTCCTACTCTTCTTTCCATAGTCCTACTTAACTCCTTGTCAGCAATGTCCAGAGTAACATCACTTCATTAAGAACAGAGATCTAAGAAACAACTAATGTTGTTTCTTACAAATTTAAGTAACTTCTTTTTGGGGCTCTCTTTACACAGATCTCTTCGGTGACCTAACCTTAATAAAATACAAAAGAAAATTCAATCCTCAGTGAGAGGTAAGAGAAGAAAACAGGTACAAAAAGCTGTATACACAATAAACTACGTTTTGAGTGAGACAAGAGAGAAATCAGAATATAAAAATACACAGGCCAGGCATAGCAGTGCACACCAGTAGTCCTTATACTCAGGGTTATCTCAGCTTTCAAGCAGCCCTGAAATAGGTATTCTCATTTTACATATGAGAAAGTTGAGTTTTCCAGGAAGTAAGCTGTCTTTGGTTAAACAGTAACTAGGTCTATTCTGCCTAAGGGAGTATAATCAGTTGAAATTTAATCTGGCCATGAGTTCAAGAATGCCCATCAGCTCAAGGCCAGACTAAGCCACAGAGGGAGTTTAAATCCAGCCTGAACTACAAAGCAAGACCCTGTCTCAAAAACCAAATAAAAATATACAAATACATAAAATATGTACTGTATATATGTATGGATATATCTTTTTTGCAAAAAGAAAAGCAATAAGGAGAAACCAGATACTAACAAACATGAGAATCTCTGATAACTATAGAGAAATAAAGCAGAAGGAAAAGGAATGAGACTCCTCTGAATGTACTTTTTGAGTCATGAATGTGGAATCATGTTTTTAAAGACATTCAAAACATAAAATTGAATGATAATTTGAATACAGAAACAAATAAGCTTAACTATCTATTAAACTGAAACCTAATTATATAGAAAAACATTTCAACTCTGACTATACTCCCTTAGGCAGAATGGACTTAGTTACTATTTAACCAAAGACAGTTTACTTCCTGGAAAACTGTAAAATGAGAATACCTATTTCAGGGCTGCTTGAAGGCTGAGATAATCTATAAAAACTCCTCAGCAGTACTAAGCCAGGGCAAATGTTCAATCATATTTGCCATTATTACATGTTAAATTAGTTTTACTCAACTTTCTATGGGTATGTTACGGACTAAAGAAGATTAGGCATCTAAAGCATTCAGACAAAGCATTCAGAGAAAAAAGTCCAAGAAGCAAATTAAGAAAGAATTCTTTATTTTACTGAACTATTGCTAATTATGTAACATGCTTTTTATTAGGAAACACAAAATAGGATACATAAATTTAAAATGTTGTAACAGTACTATCTGTGGGCATAACTAAACTGGTAACTCAATCATGACTTTTACTTATAAACTATGGGAAAGCTGTTTGGCTAAGGGAAAAATAAAAAATATCAAAAAAGAAGGAAGAAAGAAGGGAAAGCAATGTTGCATCTCTCTATAAATTATGTCCAATAATAGGTTTAGCTCAAGGCATAAGCGCCTGCCTTGCAAGCAGGCAGTCATGAGTTCAATCCCCCGTACCGATAAAAAGGAAAAAAGATTTAAATAAATAAGTAAATTATGTCCAATAAAAGTTAAAAAGAAAAATATGCTGTCTAATTAAAATAAAGTTAAGGAGAAAAGAAATATGCAGAGGAAACAGCCTAGTAAGCAAAGCTAAGACTGAAATACTATCTTGAAAGAGACAAAATACCTCTTATGTAGTTTAGAAATGTAAAATAGATCCTCTGACCAAATAATGGGCCAAAGTTATGGTGATAATATTCCAATGTTACCTAGTAAGTGATATGAGAAGACAAAATGGCTCACATAGACACAACTTCCACAGAAAGAGATCCCCTAAGGATTTTAAGAATCTTGAGTTCAGGTTAGGACTGGGGATTTAGCTCAGCGGTGTAAGCACCTCTGGCAAGAGCAAGGTCGTGAGTTCAATGCCTGGTACCAAAAACAAAACAAACAAAGAATCTTGAGTTCTAACACTAGCTCTGTTTAAAAAGAAAAGCTAACCTGACTTTTATGGTACACAGATTTCTAACCAGAGTAATAAAGGAGAACCAAATTGTTGTTTCGTAAGCCCCATGCTATTTCAAAATACTATGATTCTGTTTGAAAATCAATGCCACATCAAAAAACCAATTTATGAATCTACTTTTGGACTGCCACAAAGAGATTCCTTGTATTCCAAAATTCTCTTTTGTATTTATAATGGTAGTTTAACTGTATTTCCGACTGCATGATACTCCACTAATTTTAACACAGAGTGAATGATGTAGAAAATAAGCTGCTTCTACAAATGAAGAATAGGCTAATTAAAAAAGCACTATCTAATTTTTTTATCAGTTCAAGTTGGAGGTTTAATATGTCAAAACCAGAACCTGTAGTATTTTTATTTGTTTTATAAACAGCTCAAATTAGCTTTTAAGTACAATTAACTGCATCACTTTGTTAAGGTATCAGTAGTTATCATTCAATCGACATGCATTTTTTGAGTAACACATGTTACTTTTAAGATGTTACAAATATGACTATCAAAAAAAAAATGAGTCTTCACTTAAAGGACAAAAGTAGGGAGACTAAAAAAAAAAAACAACAACAACAGTTGAATAACTTAGTGAATAATGACAAAGATGGAAAGATGGGTATGTGATGGCAGCAGTCTTGCCAGAGGTATTGGCCACTGAAAAAGAAAGCCCCCAAAGAAAATGCAAAGGTGAAAAACTCAATATACATATACATATACATAGTACAAGATAAAAGACAGATAATAGAAAAAAGAAGAGAGGAAAAAGAGATATTGTAATCCAGTGTGGACAATGTATCTAAAAAGTATACCTTGATTTAGGTACAATTTTCTTACATGTTTTAAATCTACTTATATGATAATTAACTTTATACGGTCCTGTAAACAAATTAACCTGATGCTGGAAAGATAAAAGAAAGGGTGGGGAAAAGGAGGGGAAAGAAGTAAAATATGTTCTGCTCACGTACCAATTCCCTATAGTAAATATAATCATTATCATCAATATGCACTAATAAAAGTTAATTAAAAAAAAAAAAAAAAGAAAGCACAAAGGTGAAAGTCCCAAAACAGAAAAAAGGGGGCCTGGGACATAGCTCAGTGGCACAAGCACCTGCCCGGGAAGTACAAGGTTCTGAGTTCAATTCCCAGTACCAAAAATAAAACAGAAAGAAACTTGACCAGTTCAAAGGAAAGAAAAAAGCCACTAGCTGAAGTACAGAAACAAAAGGCAGAGTAGAAAGAGATGAGGTCAAGCAGAACATAAAGAATAAGACCTCTTAGACTGTCAATACGTAACTTTTAAACTAGAGGGTACAAACTTCTCTTGATAAAGAGTCAAAACAAAAATACTTTTGGCTTAGTATATTAGTCTCTGTTTCAACTCTTAAAGTCTGCCTTTGTAATAAATAGCCAAAAATAGTATGTAAATTAATAAGCTTGTCTAAGTTGCAATAAAAAATTTATTTATGGGCACTGAAATCTAAATTTCATATAATATTCACTCATCATAAAACAATTCCTTTTGACTTTTTCCAACGATTTAAAAATGTAGAAGCTATTCTTAGCTCACCAACCATACAAAAGCCAGAGATGGCTTAGATCTGGCCCACAAGCAAAAGTCTGCTGACCCTAGTATGAAGACTAAAAAGTTCTGCGAGGCTTTTACCAACACCAAATACAGTTAAATAAATTATGAACTGCTCTCAAGGCAATTTTCAATTTCACTTTTCTGATCTGTAAGTTTATTTTCAGAAAATACTACCATGAGGATATCACTACAACAACAGAAATCCAAAAACCCAATGCATTTACCTTTAACCAAAGCTAACCTAGAGGGATTCCTCATTCCTTTAGTTAAGAACCATGATACTCAGCTAGCTGCCGGCATACAGTAGATCTTAAATGTTGGTAAAGAAATTAAAAGATTCCAGCCCTTCTCATCATTTGTCACAAGATTTTGGTTATGAAAAACCAAGAGTAAAAATAGTACCTGCAGCTCCTCTACTAGCCTATCAGGTTCTTCCACGCAGTGAGAAAAAGGAACCTTCTGGGGAAAGCAGAGCTTTGGACAATGCTCTTTATACCCTGCCTCTGAGGAGGGGAAGGTTCTTTCCAAAGTCATCCCTCCATTTTCCCAGGTTGAGGCAACATTGTGAATATAAGTAAGTAGTATCTTCAAGCAGAAAAATGAAAATCCTTCCTCTGGTAGGACTTAGCTTTACAGCAAGGCCAAGGCTAGGGAAAACAACTAAAAAGGTTTCAGACTCCAGTAAACCTGAGGTGAATAGTCACAAGCAGTGGTGCAAAGTATTTAATATACAACTTGCCAATCTTCTGCAAATATTTTAGAGTATCTCAGTATTTAAAACTGGGGACAGATGCCCAAAGAAACTGAAAATAGGTTTCTTCACAATCAAAGTAAAAATGGCTTAGATTCATCATAAAATATTTGTGGTGTATTATTTAATAATTCAATAATCAAGCCAAATGACTGAGTTTTTATCATAAATATTCAACTACTACAACGATCTGAATTAGCTTTTATAAACATGTAAGTATTTGCTTTAACATATAAAAGGTTATGATGCATGATTCTAATTACCCCTATCAGGAAAATCTATCATCAATAAAACTTCATATTGATTATCAAAGTGTTTTCCTATATAATATCTTTAAAGATTTTTTAAAAATCTATCATTACAACTCAACAAATTACTTCACACTATTTCTCATTTTGCTTAGCATAAACCATTTTTGCCTTTTCTTCTGAAAGCAGGAAGGTCAAACTTCAAGGAAGAGAGGTTTAATTTGGCTCATGTTTAAAGGTACTCAGTCCACAGTAAGGCGGCTGCAAGGTCAGAAGGGGAGGTATACCAAAACTGGTTACTTCACGGTAGCCAGAAAACAGAGGAGAAATGTGCCAGAGAGAAAGGGTGAGGGACTAGACACAGACCTGCAGGCCATGCCTCCATCTCCCACTTAGACACAGCCAGCAAGATGCTCTTCCAATTCCCAAGGCAGATTTCAAAGCCAACCACCCGAGCCATATAAATTCTGAGTCATAGAACACACCAAGAAGAATAAGGAAGGAATACTATATGAAGATTATTTCTACAATAAAAATGGCACCAGAAATTGTTGTTCCCTCATCTGCAGTTTCTTTTATTGTATGTCTGTTCTACACAAACTAATCTTCTAACCAACTCCCTTTTCTCCTGCTAGTCATCCAAGTATCTAATTAATATTCTTTATCTATCGGTGTTATGCTTTGCGTTTGAATGGCTCCCCAAGCCTCAGGCAGTCATGGAGGTGGCTGAGTCTAGTGTTTGTGATTGGTTCATTGTATAGCACTGGGATTGGTAGTGTGAGTGCTGCACTTGCCCAGGAACAGGTAGCTGGCATGCAATATAAGGAAAGCAATTAGGCTTGCTTTTCCCTTTTTGCCCTTTTGCTCTTGTTGCTTGCTCCTTAGCCACACCTTAGCCTTAGAGCCAGCCAAGTATGGACTCAAACCTCCAAAAAACTCTAAGCTAAATCAACCTTTCCTTCCTTCATTTTGGGCATCAAGTATTTTGTCTCAGCAACAAGAGAAAAGTAACCAAGACAGAATTTGGTACCAGAGAAGTGGAGTTGTTGCTGTGACTATACCTGACCATGAGATTCAAGAGCCTTTGAGAATGGCTTGTGGGGAGAGTTTGGAGATGTTACCCGAAAGAGTGGCACTGGAATGCCTTAGGCTGTTCTGTTATGGGAGATTGTGGTCAGAGCTCAGGGGACCAGAAGGCTGCCAGTAATGACAAGGCCCAGGAGGTTTTTGCTGGGAAGAAGGACTGCAAGATGATTTAAAACATTGTTAGTTTGGCCAGAAAGCAAGCTCTAGTAAATCTGGAATGCAGAGATAGAGCTGAAGTCTCTACTGTTGAAAAGGAAGAGCAGAATACAAAAGATGACCTTAGGGCATCACAAGTGTCAGGTATTTTGGCTCAACAAGGAGAGAAAAGTAACAGAATTTGGTACTGCTAAGACAAAATACTTGACACCCAAAGTGGAAAAAGGAAAAGTTTATTTAGTTTACAGGTTTTGGAGGTTTCAGTCCGTACTCAGCTGGTTCCAAGGCAGGGTAACATGGCTAAGGGACAGCCATTCATGGAGGTCAGCAAGTGACAAGAATGAAAGGACAAAAAAGGGAAAAGCACACCTCCTTTCCTCCCTAGTATTGTGTGCTGTCTACCTGCCCCAGAGTATGTGCAGCATTCATATCAGCAACCCCACTGCTGGACAACAAACCAATCACAAATGTGAGTCAGTTACCTCTATGATTATACGAGACTTAGGGGGTCATCTAAACACAAACCATAAAAATCAGGTACCTGTATTAGATTCGTGTTTCTTACTATACGTCTAGGAGCTCTCCCAGACACACCAACTCAGCTCTTTGTGGATCCTACATAGGTTCACTTTTTCTCCCTATATCCATTCTATTTTCATAATGTGCCAACTTCTTAAGACATTTGCAAAGAGAAGTGCTCCAAACTGCTGAAATTTAAGTTTTTCATCCTTATAAGGTACTTTTTACACATTCTCTGTTGAATTTTTAAAGTTCTACTCCTCATTATATTTTTTTACATGAATAATCTTTCACACTGGACCGTCAGTTGAGAGTAAATATTGTATGATTTGATAAATTTTTAAAATATCTACTTGTAATACCTTACACAGCAAGTCCTGCTTGAATATAAATATGAAATTATTTTACAGAAAGAAACAATATTGATAACTTTCAAACTTATTATTCCAAGGAATTCATCTTTTTAAAGAACTTTTTAGCAGTATTTCTTGTCCTTTGGCTTATGTTCTTGTGCTTTTTGGAGTCATAGTCTATCTTATTCCCTACCTTATAGTTACCAGTAATTAAATTATAGTTGCACTTTCTCCTCTCTTTAGAACTTTCAAATTGCATACTTTGCTATTGATTTTCTCCTTGTTAGCACCAGAAATACCATTACAACACTGTCCATTTATGAACAGGCACACCCTGCCAGTTTTCTCTTTAAAAATAGTCCCAGTGGACTATAATGGAAGATAGGAAGTACAGAACTATAAGAAACAAGAATTTGTGTTCCGAAGAGTAGCTAAACAAACACAATTCTCTTTATTTTAGAAAAGTTTTACTTGTTTCTTCTTTTATAAAACCTTAGCAAAAAATTATTGTAAATACATTATACACCTAGAATCTAGTATCTAGCCCATAAGAGATTCATAAATAAAAAAATATTATTACAGGATATTAATTACCTATCACAGAGTATTTAATGCTACTCAATATAATAACTCAAATTTACTTCTGCATGTATTTACACATAGATGGATGTGGGTGTGGGCATGAATGTATGCACATGTACGTGGCTAGGCATAAAACCCAGAGCCTTGTGCATCTACTACCAACTATACCCCCTGCCAACTTCTGCACTGTCTAAAGATGACAATAAGACATGGATATTTCATTATATCCAATGACTTCAACATGGTTTTCATAAGCCAATGACCAACTGCATCAAAAATCACTCTCTCACCTCACTGCCCTGCATGGTCTTTGCTGGGTTAGCAGAGGGGATAGCAGCATTCAGCTCAGGTTCCGGCTTACAGAGAAGTGCAATGGTATCACGATGAGACTGGTAACGTTCTTTTACTAGTCCATCTGCTTGCACAGCTTTATCTAAAACTGTTCTGAAGTTGGTACCCTCTGTAGAGGAAAAATTCAAAAGTACAGCAGTGATTCTAACAGCATTTTTATGGGTTAATTTTACTTTTTTAGTTCTGGTTCTCAATTTCACTTATGCCTCCCTCCTATAAGCCTCAATTCACTTAGCTAATGATGATCCAGGTCCTATCAATACTTGCACTTTGTTTTTGGAAAAAAAGACGAAATTGCTTATAAAATCAAATGTACAGCTACACCTTAAAATACGTTTCAGCCCAGCATATGCCAAATGAAGGTAAACTGACATCAGTCTAATCTATTCCTACAACACATAAAAATAGAAAGAAATCATTTACTCCAAAAACTAATAGATCTTATTTTAAAAGTGTCCTTCTCTAAACTTAGAGTAGCAAATACTTTTGAAAAATCTAAACAGCATTTTTTCCTTTTACAAAAATAAATAAAGTAAGTCTCTACCCACAACAAAAACATCATTTATCTTAACCATGAAATCTTAATAATCACTCTGGAAAGCATAATTTTCATTTCAAAGGAACAGTCAAACTCACTTTTTAACCATCTAGGATTCATTTCTAAGTAAAAAAATAAAAATAGATCACAAGATAATACATATAATATGATCTCATATGTTTTTAAAGTACATGAGTGGTTTGGAAAAGGAAACGAGAATTGTTTTAATTTTCACTTCATATCCTTTGTAAGAATTTGAACTTTCTAAAGTTGTTCTCTTAAACCTTTATATGACTGAGAAAAACACCTGGGTTTTCACAATAGTACACAATTCAATAAACACAAGTTTATAAATTAGTCTAATCAATAAAAAATCTGGAACCAACTTGGGAATCTAGTCAAGTGAAAGTAATTTATAGACATTTTTACCTGCTCTTAAAGGTTTATACAGGTCATTGGATGGTGTCCTTTGCCAGCGTTCCTTGAATTTTGCCCTTAAATCATTATCAGTTGCTTCTTCTTCATCCAGCAATCTTAGTGACTTAGAAAAAAAGAAGTAGAAGACACTGACATGTCATTTCTTGCATAAAATATTTTTAAAGCATCTCTTCAAGTGATGATATCCAATATATGTGAGAGTTTAGTGAGATACTTTTATACTACTGATTAGAATATAAACTGATACAGGTATTTTGTAAGAAGAATATGTTATATTCATATAAAATTGAAGGTTAGGGTACTCATCTTTCTCAGTAAAATTTTTAAAAAAGACATCCATATCCCAAAAATGTTTAACAAAGTTTCAAGATTAAAACAAACGAAAGCCATACACAAAACTGTTCAACCTGATAAACTATAAATAAAACTTACACAATAAAAGACATAGACTTCCACCGCAGTACAATAAAATGACAATGTATTAAAAATGCCACCCCAGTAATCCCAGCATCTGGGAGGCTGAAGCAAGAGGATGGCAAGTTCAAGGCTAGCCTGACAACTCTGCAAGATCTTATCTCAAAATAAAATTTCAGAAGGGTTGCAGAGGTAGCTCAAAGTGAAGGCATGGGTTTAATCCACAGTTTGGGAGAGAGGGAACAAAACAAAACAAAACAAAAGTTTTTTTAAGGCATATCTTAAAAAAATAATAAAAGTAACACTTAAGGAGACAATCCCTGCTACTTACAGCAAAGAACAGCAAACTTTTCTGCCAGAGTAAATAATTTAGGTTTCACAGACCACATACAATCTGTCACATATTCATATTTCTTTTCATAACCCTCTAAAGACAGCAAAATACATACTCAGCTTGCAAACCATACGAATCTTAAATTAGAACCCAAAACTGGACTATAATTCATACTTTGCTAGCTATGCAGCTCATCACCAGTTGAGAGTGTTAATTTAACACATAAAAAGACCTGAAACATAAGCAGAGTCAACAAGAGTGAAAGGTCATATCAAAAGCACTGGCCTCCACTCAAACTGGAACTTCCAAATACATGACTCTTAAGTGAATAAGTTTTCAAAAAGGAAAAACACCCTATGGAAGGAAACTTGCCTGTCTAATCTTCGACTCTAAAAAGAAAAAAGCACTTAAGACTTCTAATCAAAAGTCTGAACTTGGGACTAGAAATCACACTATGTGTTTCATATAAAGTTTCCAGATGATTTTTAAAACTTCACTGCATACACACACACACATACATACACACACATGTTTAAAGAGACATCACATATAAAATGCCTTTCTATGGCAGAAGCAAATGAAAATTCTATCTGAAAGAATTCACTTTAAACATAGACCTCAAAGAATTCCCACAAAGTTAGGAAATGTGAATTCAATAAAAAAAATCATCTAATGCTAGATGCAATGTAATATTGTGTACTGAATCTTGGAAATCTTGGAACTCAAGAAGGACAGTAGGGGAATAACTAGTAAAATCTTAGTAGTACTAGTGTGCCAATACTTACAAATATTGTATATTACAAAATATACAAAAGATTTTAACTTTACAAGAACCTGGGTGACCTTTTATTTCTTTTTTTCTATTTTGTTTTTTTTTCTTTTCTTTCTTTCTATAAATAAAAATTTTTTTTAAAAAAACCTGGATGAAGAATGAACAGGAACTCTCTACGTTAAATCTGTAATGTTTCTGTGAGTGTAAAATTTTCCAAAATAAAAATTTTTGGATTAAAAACTAAAAACAAAAAAAATTTTTTTGAATGAAAGAGAAAACAAGTCCGTATTAAAAAAAAAATCACAAACTCACAAGGACAAGAAATACTGGAATTATAAAGAATACAATATATTTAATATATTTTAAGAAATAAAAGGTTAACACATAGTATAAGAGAAAGATATTGCGAAGGAACCAAACAGAATTTGTAGAAATGAACAACATAATTAGTTAAGAAGTCAATGAGTATTTAAGACCCACTATGACAGAACTGAAAACAATGAGTAAACTAGAAACTAGGCCAGAGGAAATTACCCAGAATGAAGCGCAAAGCAACACAGAATGAGAAGAGACACGGAAAATAAAGTAGAAAACATCAACATACACACACGCAAAGATTCAGAAAGGAGTAATAATGAGAATAGAAGAAAGCAATATTCAAGGAATGAAAACTAAGTATTTTCCAGAATTCTTTAAAGATACAGTTCCTCTAATTATCAATCCAGTGAGATGGAAAGCCACACTCAGATACATTTTAATGAACTTTTAAAGCAGAAAAATGTGTAACTTCAATGCCAGTATTAAAAAAAAAGAAATGAATGGAAAATTTGCCATAGTGTATTTAAATCACCAGAACCCATTCTGCCTCTTTATAAACACTTGTCAAGTTTATTTGTTTGTGGTTGGTTTCTTTCTTCTATCTCCTTGAACCATCAAGGGGCACTGAGGCATTTTGCATAGTGCCCACTACTCAATTTACACTAAATAAACATTCGTTGAATTGAAAAAAACAGAATAATTTAATAAAGCCAGGAAAAAGTAGGAGTGGGGTATAGGAGAAGGGAGGGGCCAAACCAAGGGAAATTATAGAAACCAAAAAGGCAAGACAAATATAAAATACATGTTTCTGAATATATGAACATGAATGGTTAATATAAATGAATTTAATCTTTCAAATAAAAAGACTGTGTATATGATATATGTGTGTATATATGTCCGTGTGCATGCATATATATATATATATATATATATATTGGAGCATCCTTAATCCAAACTCTAAAATCTGAAATGCTCCAAAAGCCAAAATTTCCTGAGCACCAACATGATACCACAAAGGGAAAATTCCACAGATGACTCATGTGGCAGGTCAAAATCAGAACACAGGCACATTAAAAATACCGAATGAAACTGTCTTCAGGATTCGTGTGTATATGAAACATACATGGCTCTCCTGTTGAGACTTGAGTCTCATCCCCAAAATACCTCATTATGTACATGCAATTAATCCAAAATTCAAATACTTCCAACCATTTCAGATGAAGGATATTTAATCCACACAAGTTTGAAGCCAGACAAAGACACTACAAGAAAAGTTATAGATCAACATCCTTTGGGTATTGGGATGCAAAATCTTCAACCACATAACTACAAAAACCAAATCCAGCAGCAATTTAGAGGTTTATATATCATGACCAACTACGACATCCCAGGAATGCAAAGGTAGTTCAAATTTGAAAATCAATTACACCAAATTAGTAAAGGCAAAAACTTTATGATCATCTCAAATGATCCAAGAAAAAAAAAATCCAATGCTCATTCACAATACAAACACTGAACAAACTAGAAATGCAAAGGATCATCCTAAATCTGATTAAAAAAAAAAAAACATACACAAAAAAACTCACTGCTAACAACATGCAGTCATGTGGCACAAAACCATTTTTCAGACAATAACAGACCTGATATATACTAGCTGTCCTGTAAGATTATACTGCCTCCTGATACTGTAATCATTTTGGGTTTGTGTAAGTATATGCTGCATTTGCACAATAACCAAATCAGCTAATGAGTGGTACTCAGAACACTCTAAGTTAAGTAAATGTACTGAAAGTTTTCCTCATAAGATCAGGAATAAGAAAAGGATCTCTAATCTCATCATTTCTATATTGTAAAAACCAGGGCAAGAAAGAAAAAGATAATGTAAATTGATAAGGAAGAAGTAAAACTCCCTCTATCCATATTTGACCTGACTTTATGTGTAGAAAATCTGTAGATGCCACAAAATAACTATTAGAGATAATAAATGAATCAGTAAAATTGCAGAAGACAAAATCCACCTATAAAAATTTGCTGTATTTCTATACTCTAGAAATGAACCTACAAAATAAATTTTAAAAACAATTCTATTAACAAAAACATCAAAAAGAAAAAAATATTTAGGAATAAATTTAACAAAGAGGCATAAGATCTTTGTGTTGAAAACTACAAAACACTGCTGAAAAAAATTAAAAAATGTAAAAAGAAAAATGGAAAGACATTCTAAATTCATAGGTTGGAAGAGTTAATACTATTAAGGGCAATATTCAACAAAATGATTTAAAGACTCAGTGCAATCAATACAGAACTTCTAACTACTTTTTTGTAGAAATGGGTAAGCTAACCCTAAAATCCCTATAGAATTGTGAAAGACCTTAAATAGAGAATTTAATCTCTTAGATGAACAAAGTAGAACTTACAGTCCCCCTTTTCAAAACTTACTATAAAGCTACAGTAATAACAACAAAGTGGTAATGGCATAAATTTGGACATATGAATCAAGTGATTTTTTTTTACAAAAGTGGCTAGATCATTCTATTCAACAAAAGATGCTAGAATGAAATAACTACATATTTAAAAAGAAGTTGGGAGGTAGGTATAAACCTTGGAGACAGAGGCAGGCAGAGAATTCATGAATAAAACGCAAACTACACAGGAAATACTTCAAAGAATCAACAACTGGGATCTCATACTATTGAAAAGTATATGCACTTCGAAAGAAATCAACAACAGAGTGAAAAGAAAAGCCATAGAATGGGAAAGAATTTTAGCCAGCAACCCCTCACACAAAGGACTTATATCCAGAACATATAAAGAACTGAAAAATATCAAGCCCCCTAAATTCAAAGACCCTCTCCAAAAATGGGCATCTAAGATGAACACACAGTTCTCAGATAAAGACATACAAATGGCAAATAAATACATGAAAAATATTCACCATCACTGGTCATTTGAAATTAAAACAGCATTGAGATTTCATCTCATTCCAGAAAGAATAGTTGCCATCAAGAGATCAACAGATAACAAATGTTGGCAGGGCTGTGGGGAAAAAGAAACACTGCTCCACTGTTGGTGGGAGGGTAGACTGGGGTAGCCACTATGGAAGTCAGTATGGAGATTCATCAGAAGTCTAGGATTAGAAGTTCCATTCAATCTAGCTATTCCCCTCCTGGGTATTTTCCCAGAAAAACTGAAAATGTCGTATCACAGCGATATATGTGCACCTATGTATATAGCAGCACAATTTGTAATAGCTAAATCTTGAAATCAACCAATATGCCCATCAACTGCACAGTGGATTAAAAAGATATGATATTTTATACGATGGAATATTACTCAGCTATAAAAAGGATGATCTTGACACCTTTACAGGTAAATGGAGGCAACTTGAGACTATCCTCATAAGAGAAATAAATAAGAGTCAAACATCACATTGTCTCTCTAGTATAAACTGAAAGTGTAGTAAGAGCCATAATGTATAATAGATATTATAATAATGAAAGGGAAGGAAAGTGCTCTAAAGGATATAACTGTATATAAATTTAAGTGTGTAAAATAGATAACCATACTACTAAGTTTTCATTAATCAAATAAAATAGTTTATACTGTCACTGTTTGAGTGTCCACTTCGTATGCTTTGATTTTTTTAACCTGAACAACTACTTCTAAGATAACAGTATGTTATTTACCAACTAGTGATTTCTTAGTGTTATGTTTTTTGGAATTCTGTATTATTTCTAACCTTTTTTCTGTTTTGCTTTTTTCTCTAAATAAAAAATAAAAATGAAAGATTGGGCATTTACCTCATATCATATTCCAGATTTAATTCAAAATGGATCAAACACCTACACAGAAAAGCTAAAACGGTATGAGTCTTCCCAACTTTAGATTTTTGACAAAAAGAATCCTAAATGTGATACCAAAAGCACAAGGAACAAAGACAAAGATAAATTATACTTCATCAAAATGAAGAAGTTTCTATATTAAAGGATACTATTAAGAGTGAAAAGAAAATCAGAAGGTATTTGTAAATCTTTAGTAAGACCTGGCATCCAAAATTTAAAAAAGAACTTAAAATTCAACAACAACAAAAAAAAAACTTTAAAAGCCAAAGACTTGAACAAACGTTTCTCTAAAGAAGATACACAAATCCATATAACACATGAAATGAAGATACTCCAACTTTAGGAAAACATAAACATAGTGAAATACCATTTCAAACACACAAGGTCAGCTATAAGTATTTTTTAAAAGGCAATTGCAGAGGCAGGGGATTTAGTTCAGTAGTATAAGCAGCACCTGCCTGGTAAGCACGAAATTGCAAATTCAATCCCTGGTTTAAAAAAAAAAAAAAAATGCAAGTATTAAATGTGAAAAAACCAAAACCCTTACAAAAATGCAAGTAGAAATACAAACTTGTGTACCTATTCTGGAAAACAGTTTAGCAGTTCCCCAAAAAGTTATACTTATCTGGGGTTGGGGGTTAACTCAGCCACATAAGTGCCTACCTTGCAAGCACACGGTTGTGAGTTCGATCCCCGGTATTGGAAAAAAAAAAAAAGACAGAAAGTTACACTTATCTAATGACCAAGCAACCCTACTTCTAGGTACATACCCAAAAAAAAAACTGAAGGATTCCAAACAAAAACTTACAAATACCAGCATTATTCAGCACAGTCAAAAATGGAAATAACTCATTCATCAACTGAGGAATGGATAAACAAAATACAGTGGATCCACAGAATGTATTATTATTTAGCCATAAAAAAAAATGAAGTATTGATCCATGCTGTAATATGAGTGAACCCTGAAAACATTATGCTAAGTAAAAACAGCCAAACTCAAAAGGTCACATATTGTAGGATTCCATTTACCTAAAATTTAACACCCAAATCCATAGAGACAGAAATTAATTGCTGGTTGCCAAGGGCAGAGGGCAAGGGACAATGAGGAGTTGATTGTTAATAGGTACAAAGTTGTTTTCAGAAGATGAAAATGACACCTTAGTATTTTGCTTACACAATACTGCAAACTTACTAAAGGCCACTCATTCATATCTTTAAGAGACTAATGGTAAATATTACACTATGTCAGTTTTACCTCAAAACGACGTGGTTGTTAAGATAAATATAAAAGATATTTTAAGAGAATCAATTGGCTTGAAATGAAATGAAATGAAATGAAATGAAATGAAAAAGATCAAGAATATTCCTTTTAGGGGAAAAAAAGGGCTGAAGAATCAAGAGACCAGATGAAGAGCTAATTAGTAAGTTAGACGGCTAGCCTGAAAGAAGTACAAGAACATAAACAGAAAAAATTTTTTTAAAAAAGAAACATAAAGAGTAAAGTGCTATGAAGAACTGATCCAGAAGTACTACCATCAATCTAACAGGAATTAGTAAGAAAATAATGAAGAGAAAAAGGAACTAAGGAAACAGAATCCATGGGCAAGGACGTAAGATTTAAAGTGCCCAACAAGTTCCAATCATGACAAATTTATTATTTTAAAAACTGTAGAAACTTCAAATTCCTAAAAATCAAACTACAACAAAATGTCCAAAAAGTAACAGAGAGGTGGACACAGGGTGGCAGCACAAGCTGATTAATTCCAGCACTCAGAAGGTTGAGGCAAAAGGATTGCTGGGAGTTCAAGGCTGGTCTGAACTACACAGAGACCCCCTGTCTCAAAAATAACAATAATAATAATAGTAAGATAGTGAGAGATGGACAACTCAAAATGAGTACCAAGTTTATATTTTACTTCACAACTTATAGCATAATTAAAATGAGACTCTCCGAGTACAACTGACAGAATAATACCCTAACTCACAAAACTATTAGGAACATCAAACAACATAAATAAAAGTATTTCATATTAAGATAGACAAGAAGAACTCAGAAGGCAGAGACTGGAAGAACAAGTTTTAAGGCTAGCCTGGATTTCTAGGTTATACTAGGTATATAATGAGACCCTGTCTCAGAAAACAAACAAACAAGACAACAGACATATATGCATTGTCAGTATAAAATATAAGCTCTTTTTTATATTTATATTTCTAAAGACACCCTTATACTCGATAGAATTTCATTAGGCAATGTTACTATCCAAAAAAGCAAATACGCATCTCCCATTCAATGATATTTTACAAGATCAAGGAACTACAGTCATATTTAATATGTATGTAACTGTAAGTAGCATGCACATATAGTATCTCACTTCACAACTATCTTATAGACTACATACTATCACCCCTATTTTCTAGATGAGTCTACTGAGACATAACGATGTTAAATACTTTGCCCAGGGTCACATATAGATGTAAGGGCTGGACATTAAACCCAAATATAACTTCACATTCTAAGACATTACTACTGAACTATTTGTAAATCATTAAGTGAAGATTTACTATAATTTCTATTTACCAATGCTCCAAGACTGTTTTTCATTTGATTATATCTTCATTTTTCACTGTGTGTCTTCTCTAACAATATCAATTCCCTCCTGCAGCTATCACTCTGTGTAATTTTAAAACAAACTCTTTTATTTAGGTCTATCTACTATTGCTAATGTCCTTCCAATTTCAATACCATATTAAACTTTTTTGACCCACAAATCAATAGGTTTTTAAAAATTGTAAGGTGTTCTTATGAAGTATATGACTACAAGAGCAATGTTTATCAAATTTTGATGGGCATGTGAATCACCTACGATTCTAATCAAAATACATATTTTGACTCAGTAAGTTTGGGATGAGATTTGTGATTCTACAGTTCTAACAAGTTCAGCACAGCAAAGACAATACTATATTATGTAACATGTACTCCACTTGCTTTCGCTTCTGATTATTGATGTCTACAAAATTTACATTGATGAATGCTGACTGTGTGATTAATGTAGAACCCCTCTTTAACAGTAGTCTCCTAAGTAGTTACCCATTAATTTTCTACCCTAATCTTTTTCAAAAGCTGACTTTCACTAGAAGATAACTACTGTATTACTATTATCAGTAGTTATAACTATCCATCATACTATTCATCATCATACTATTCATCACACTAGCAATAATAGCTTTAATGTATTAAGCACATCCTACATATCCAAAAGGTAAGCCACTTTACTTTACATATATTAATCTTTCAAATAATCCTCAAGCTAAATAGTCCCATTCACAAGTTTTCCTGCCATAAGTATTTAACTACTCTGCCTCTCCCTCAAAACATCTGGAAAGTATTTAATTTATTTAAAATATCCCTTGAAATTTAACTGAAAAATCAAATCATAGATTACTAAGTAATGATAACAAGTCACCCAAAAGGAAATATGTCACTTGTAACTGACAAGAGCTCGTATAACTAGTAATGTATCGATAGCTAAAAAATGAGAATGTACCAATTAGGGAGAAGTAATGAAGATACCACCAAAACATAATTATAATGGTAAGTAGTTGGCTTTAGCCAAAGAAACTTCAAAGAGTGTTTCATTCCTACTAACAAAAGAGTATCTCTAAAGGTAAATAAATGTGATAGCTTTGTAAAAAACATTTCATGTCTGAAATTCATGTCAAGAAACCTAATCTGCCTATGTACAAAAGACTCAATCATTATGAAGCCTTTCAATGGTCTGAATGAAAGCAATTTCTCATAGTAATATAACATAATAATCATGAGTTTCATACACATACATTCGTTCTTCCGCAACAAAATTCCTCTCAAAACTGAAGATAGGCATTGGGGTGCACACCTGTAATCCCAAGAGTCAAGAGGCTGAGGCAAAAGGACTGCTATGAGTTCAAGGCCAGCATGGACTGCAAAGCTACACCCTGTCTCAAAAAACTGGGAGGTGGGGAGGGGACCCGACACAACACACTAAAGAACAAGCCACAGTAAATTCACCAAGTGATAAATATTACCCTGTGAAACCCTCCAGTCCTAATCCCTTCTGAACACCAAAGGATCAGTTTTTACCCAAAAGAAATAAATCCCTTAAAACATACCTCATCGAGGATTTCTCTATTTCTTTGTAGTAGTTCAGGCAGTTCTTTGATCAACTGATCAACAGTCTGAATACCTCCCTGTTCAATCACAGATGTGGACTTGGTCAATATAGACTGAGGTACAGTATCTCCAGACACATCTTCAATTGCTGCTGGAAGATTAAGGGACGCTAACACCCTGGGAAAAAATGAGATACTATGTCATGTAAAAGTCTAACAACCTTTAAAAACTAATCACTTATGTCTGAATCAATAGCTATGGAATTATTTAGCATCTCAAAAAAGTGCTAAGTAATTTATCTTTTTATAGAAAAATAAAAAGGAAAAATAAAATCAATGATTATTGAATTATGAAATCATTAAAAAATTATTAAGTTCTTAGTTCAAAGTTAAGACCCACAGTAACAGTATTAAAATATAATAAATAACTAATAGTTCAAACTTAGTTTATTTAAACTTAGTTTAAGTAATTAAAAGTCAAAAATTTTATCTTAAAAAGCAGTCTTTATCATTTTGCTATACTGTCACTAACAAATGAGAAATATACAGAACAGTTACAATTTTCTATCACGCACACAAAATGCCAATAGAACACAGGTGATGTAAGCATTAATTCCAGTCTTCATCTGTTCTCAGTTTTGTAATATGATACTGATTCTTTATTTATTTCATCTAAATGATGGGCAGTGGGAGAACTTATCCCTTCCTGTTACTTATAAAGACAGAAAAGCAAACAAAATAATGTAATAGAATGAACTCCTTAGAAAATAAGTTTTGTATAAACTCAGACTCCTTAGCCATTTGCACAATACACTTAGGTTTCTCTCTAAAGAAAAATGATGTGAAAATCCATACACTCATCAAAATTAAAAGCAGGCAAAGGTAAGTCAGACTCTAGGAGAAAATTCTCTCAATCACATATATCTGACAAAGGCTATATCTAAAGTAGATAAATTTAAAGAAAATTAAGAAGGATCAAACCAATTTTTAAAAAGGAGCCAAGCCAGGGGCTGGGGATTTAGCTCAGCGGCATAAGTGCCTGCCTTGCAAGCAGGCAGTCGTGAGTTCGATCCCTGGAACCGGTAAAAACGAAGAAGACAAAAAAAAAAAAAGGAGCCAAGCCAGGCATAGTAGTACATGCCTTTAACACCAGTACTTAGAGCACAAGTTCAAGTCCTTCCTGGGCAACTTAATGAGACCACAACCCAAAATAAAAAACAAAAAATGTTAAGAGCTGAGGATGTAGCTTGGTAGTAGAGTGCCTCTGGGCCCGATCCCCAGTACCAAAAAAAAGTATGTTTTAAGAAATAAACTTTTTTTAAAAAGTGATTTACACTCAGGAGTTTGACACAGGAGGACCACATGGACCAGTCTGAGCTAACAGTAATTTAAAGGACAATCTGAACTCTAAAAAAAGAAAAGGAGGGGCCAGGCATGATGGTGCACACCTGTAATCCCAACACATGAGAGGTTGAGGCAGGAGGATCACTAGGAGTTCCAAACCACACTGGGTTAACAAAGTGAGTTCAAGGCCAGCCTAAAAACTGCATAGTGAAACCCTGTCTCAAAACAGAAGGCAGAAAGAGAAAGAGAATGAGACAGAGAGACAGAGAGAAGAAGGAAGGAAGGAAAGACGGAAGGGGAAGGAAGGAAAATGGGGGAGAAAAGGAGTAAAATGGCAGGGACTATAAACTCAGTGGTAGACTCTGCCTAGCATATGTAAAGCAGTCCTAGATTTGATACACACACACACAAGATTTCACCTGACACTTCACAAAAGATACATCAACGGCTAATAAGCATATGAAAAGCTGGTTAACATCATTGGTAATTATGTGAATGCAAAGTAAAATACAATGAGATACTGCTCCACACACTAGAATGGCTAAAATTAGAGAAAGCACTAGTAAGGATGCAGAGCAACTACATTTCTCAAACCGCACAGCTGGAAATACAAAACAGCATTTTGGAAAATAATCTGTCAATCCTGCATTGTTAAATATATATAACTCAAAAATTCCACTACTAGGTCTTTATGTAAGAAAACTAAAACACATCCACACAATAATTTGTATATGAATGTTCATAGTAACTTTTAAAATATATCAACACAAAAAGAATAAACTGCTATATGATCATAAAATAGAGTACCACTCACAATAAAACAGGTTAAACTAATATACAAAAGGGGAAATGAAACTCAAAACTATTATGCCAACTGAAAGAAGTCTTGCTGAGTATATACTATATACATTTTACTGCATACTCTATGGACTGTAGCAATACTGTAATGGACACACTGTACATGCTGTAATGACTGCATTTGTATTAAAGTGTATAAAGAACTAAACTAACCTATAATGATAGGGAGTAGGTAAGTAATGGCCAGGGGCCAGGAAAAAGAAACTGAAGGAAGAAAAGCAAGATTAAGGTAACAGAAATAGCCTCACTTCTACCTTGGTGATGGTAGTGGTTATTTAAGTACATCAAGTTACCAAAACTAACTGAACTGTACACTTAAAATAGTTGTATTTATTGTGTATACCTGAATTTTTTTAAGGCCAGTGAATTATTAGACTGCTTAATATATCATGTACTGTACCTTACCTTATAATGTTCATTTTTACTTCTCATTTCATTCAAATAAACCCTGCTTAAAATGCAACCTAGTAGTCAAATATTCTCATCTCATTTGTTAGTAAATTTCGTCCAAGGATAGTTTATCTGCTACAGCTTAACACAGTGTTCCTAGAAATACAAGAGTATGGAGTATGTATATCTATTTCTATTGTATTATGTATTTCCTTGGCATTTAACTTCCAGTTCAGGAAACGAAAGGGTCCATAAATTATTTAGTAAAGAATAACCAAACAGAAAACTTAGAAACTTTAGAAACAAATTTATGAAAGTCAAGCTCTACCTACCCATTTGCCAAAGTGGTAGCTTCTCTCATTTGAGCAATTGATCTGTTAACCAAATCAGCTTTTCTCTGATTAAATGCAGACAAAGACTGCTGCACTGACACAGGAACCATCTTCTCAAACAGATCTAAATTTAGGAAGCAAAATTTACACAAAAATTTAAGACAAAGAGAAAGAAAAATCAAGCATGGGAATGACTTTATATTTTCTAATACTGATATAGTCTATAAATACTTAAATAGTCATTGAAAGTACAACAATGATGAACATCTTCAGATCATTATATCTGGTAATAACAAAGAACTTTCGTTTTTGAATTTTATTTTCCATGATTCTTAAGATGTGTTAATTGAGTATGAGTGATCTTTGGTAAAACTGCTCATTTGCTGATTAAATTGACTGAGTGTGCCACACTGCCAGAATTCAATTTTCAATTCCACTAACATTACTAGTTATAGGACCCTGGTCAAATAACCACTCTATAAAAAGTATCCTTTTCAATAAAACAGGGATATTAATAAATAGTACTCTTGTTACGGGGCAGTTGTGAGCACTTTAGAAACTATTTGCAAAGTGCTTAACAGTCCTTACCACATAGTTAAATATTTTGTGTTTGCCAATAAACCTAAGTAAAATAATCACTTTTTTCTGGAGCCAAGAATATTATCTCCCTGATATCTCAGTGTCTAGGAAGTATTACATATATGACACATATCTACAATATCCAAAGATACAATAAAATTTATCTAATACAAATGACTCCAGAAGTCTTAATGTTTACAAACACGTTTATTTTAATAACATAATAAAAGTTAACAAAATAATAGCTTGTCTAAAGTATCATTCAATACAATTTCAAGTTTTCTGACTTTATACTTTATGCATCATTTACTTATATTTTAAAATTTCACTGAAGATAATTTTTATTGTCACATTCATTTTAAACATGAATGCAAAGTATATCTAAAATACACAAGAACAACTATATGACTTTAGCTAAAAAATACAGATTAAAGTGGAGAAAAATGAGTAAGAATAATCAATAGAGTTCTTCGGAAAAACAGACATACCAGTGAACTTCTGACTGATGGGTACATTGACTGGCGTAGACTTCACAAGTGTGGCTTTGCCAATAGGATCTAGATCTTTAAGGTCTGGAACTCGGTCATGATAAATGAAGTCATTATCCTTCTTTGCTGCAGTAAGGGCACGGCTGATTTTGTCAGAAAAATCCTTCACATTGACATATTCATCATAGCGAGATGCCACTGTCTTAATCAATTCTGCTGCATGCTAAGAAGGAAAATGTTAAAATTTTATAAAGAAAAATTTTCTTCATTTTTCTCCACCAAACACTGGTTAAAATGATAAAAAAAAAAAACCCTCTAAATTTGTTTAAAAACTTAATTTGAGGATTTATATTTCCAGAATTGTGCCTGACAGGGTCACCTGGAAATGCTTGCATCACAAAATACTCACAAAATAAAGGACAATACATAGTAGATATCCATTTCAAGCCAGGGTAGTGAAAAAAAAAAAAAAAAAGATCATGGACCAATCAGTATAAGCTGACACTGAGGAAGGCTGACTGTTACATTATTTCTTTAAGCCAAAGAATTAATAATCAGTGTGTTGTAAATTTCCACAAAGACCTAAGATTAGTGAAATATACCCTTTTCATCCCTTCACATGAAGGCAGAACCCTCAAAGGGTTACACTCAGTAAAAAGGCAAACCAGAAAAAAATTACTCAGCAACACAAAAGTCAACAAAGTAGTATGTTATTTCATCATCAATAAGAAATTTTAAGTTTGCTCATATATGGTGTGTGTGTGTGTGTGTGTGTATATATATATATATACATACACACATATAAATTTATATACTAATTTAAAACTAAAATTATATTACTTAGGTGATCGTAGAAACAGCATTAAATAAAATAGATAAGTCAAAAACATTATTTAGCATAAATTCAGTACACTGTTTTACCAATTTACCGGAAACATTTAAAAAACTTCTTAAATTTTGCATTTAACAGTTCCTAGCTATATAATTATAGTAGATTGATAAATCTATCTATATAAGAATGAAAAATTTCTTACTCTTATCTCAGCAATAGCTTGATAAAGTAAAGCAAAAAATTCTGTACTTTATTCTGTTTAAATAAAAGAGCAGGGTTTCTAGGGGAAACAGAATAAAGTACTGAAAACAGGCTTGAAGGAGAAGAAAGGGAGGTGAGCACCTACAAAATGCCAACAAAAGACAAACTCTGAAACTAGATGCATCAACCAGAAAAGCAACAGAAAGCACAGATAATGACACAGAAGAAAATTCTTCCTAAACCAATCTAGGTTTCAAAGACAAGAGGAATCCCTTACATAGCGATGCCTACAAAGCTACCCCCCAAGCTTACTTCCCAACCCAGGAGCCTTTAGAAAAAGCAATCTCATTCAAACACAAATAACTAAAAAGGTATTTACTGACCTCAACAAAAATCATAAGGAAAATGATGAAAATAAGCATGACCATCAAACTTTTTAATAAATAATGAAAACACACAATATTGCCACAAGATAGATTAAATCACGTCAGAAAACAAAAATAAAATTAACTATTTAAGAATGCAATCATAGTAACAAAAACACAAAGAATAAACAGAGAACTACATGGCCCAGATATCAGTGGGTGATAGCTAGACAGCAAGAGAATAGCAAATAGGAAGTGACAACTCAACAATGCAAAAAAAATACAAATTAATTTAAGAAAAACTGAAACATTTTTAAAAGAAACAAAGGACACTGAAGAAACATCAAAAAACTCAAAGAACAATAAATGTCTACATAGCAGTTAAGAAGAAGCTGCTAAGAATTAGAGATTATTATTAGTTACTTTTCCATTGCTAGGACAAAACACTCAACACCCATAATTTACAGAAGGAGAAGTTTATTTTGGCTCACAATTTTTATGCCACATTGGCAGAATGGCACAGTGGAAGGGAAAAGCTGAGAAACACTACACTGCTAACCATATGTTGGCCAAAATGCAAAAATCAAAGGGAAGAGCTGGGACAAGAACACAACTTTCGCCTGCAATCCCAGCACATGGGAAGCTAAGGCAAGATGATCGTTGTGAATTCAAGGCCAACCTGGGCTACAAAGTGAGTTCAAGGTCAGCCTGAACCGCATAGTGAAAGCTTGTCTCAAAAAACGAAAACAAAGAATGAATTAAAAAAAAACAACTTCCCAAGTAGGATGCGCCTTTAACCAGGCCCCATCTCTTAACAGCACATTTAGCTACTAAACTCATTAATGGATGAATCTACTGATGAGTATAGCAATCCAAATGGGAGACTTTCAGGAAACAGTTTAGATCTAAACACAATAATACTAAGTTAGCTAGATAGGGTAATAGCACTATAATGTGGACCGAGATTTTTTAATATTTATCTACTAAAGATATGTACTACAGTACTCAAGTAAAAACAGGAAACACTGAAGTGAAGCTAGGTCATGGACAGTTATAATTCATATTCAATGTGTTGGAAACTTCCCAAAATAGTTAAATACAGTAAATTTCTTAAAATGAAATATAAGCCAGCAAGAATAGAAAAATTCTAAAAATGAGAAAATTCAGGATATAAGTGTGAACAGTCACAAGAATTCAGAAAATGGGACTACGTATCTAGCATTAAAACAGTCTAAAGCATAAACAACGTTTAATCTCAAATATAATAAAAATCTCACATCTCAGGCATGATGGCACATATCTGTTATCTCAGCACTTGGGAGCCTGAGGTAGGACGACTGCTATGAGTTTGAGGCCAGTCTGGGCTACAAACCGAGTTCAAGGCCCACCTGAACTGCATAGTGAAACCTTGTCTCAAAAAACGAAAACAAAAAAATGAATAAAAATTTAAAAATAAAAATACACAACTTCCCAGGTAGGACCCACCTCTAACCAGGCCCCATCTCCTAACCTATCTCAAGAAGGAAAAAAAAGAATCTCGAATCTGTGAACAAAAGAAAGTCACAGTAAATGACTTAGGGAAAACTGGGTAGCCATTTGGAAAAAGACAAAAATTGAATCCATACTTCACGTCACCCATCAAAATAAAGCCCAAATGTTCAACAATCCAAATACAACATTAAAACAAATTATATATGTACTAAGACTTTAGTATCAGCAATCCCATTTTTAGACAACTATTTTAAGATATATCTGTTATAGACTTAACAAATCCATATGTTGAAGTCTCAACCTCAAATGTGATAGTGGGGCCTTTGGGAAATAATTAAATGAGGTCACCAGGATGGGGCACATGCATAGGACTAATGGTCATATAGGAAGAGACGTCAGTGATTGTGTTCTCTTTATCAAGTGGAAAAAAACAAAAAGACATCTGAAAATCTCACCAGAACCAGACCACGCTGGGGCCTTAAATCTTGGACTTTCAGTCTCCAGAACTGAGGAAATAACTTTCTACTGTTTGGATTACCTTGTACATGGTATGTTTAGCCAAGACTAAAAACCATACAATCATCCAGAGCAGCAGACAGCAATAAACTGCAGGTTAGCCAATGACATTTAATGCAACACCAAAGAAAAATGACATCTTTCTACCACTATAGTAAAATAGAACTTCAAGATACACTGTTACATGAAAACAAGCAAGATATGTCTAGGATAAACAGGAGAGCTAAGAAAGTTCATTATATTTGTGCATAGATATGCACTGGCTTCCGTTTTCAAGGGGGAAAATGCTGAAAAGGTTAAACAGAAACTAAAGGAAACTACCAGTGGGGCAACAGGGAAAGAAAAGGCAGATAGGGTTAAAACAGATATCCATATATTTTTCACAATTTTTATTTTGAAAAATTTCAAGCTCATAAAAAAACTGAAAGAATAAGGGGTTGGGGATTTAGCTCAGAGGCATAAGCGCCTGCCTTGCAAGTGTGCGGTCGTGAGTTCGATCCCTGGTACCGATAAAAAAGAAAAAAAAATTTTGAAAGAATAGGACAATGAGTAACAATATGTCTTCTACTTATATTCAACAACTGTTATCATTCTGCTAATTTGCTTTACCTCTCACTTTCTCAAACATACACATGTACATGTGGCCCCTTTTTATGCAGAACTATTAGAAACTAAAGTTCTGATACTATAACCCAACATCCCTAAATATTTTATCATAAATTTCTTAGTAAAGTCAATTTCTTTAATACTGACAACATACTGTCTTAACTAGTAAAACAATAATTCATGAAATCAAATTTAACATCTTGCAAGGTCCTTCAATAATAAGTTAAATCTGACATTATTTGACTCTTGTTTTTTTGTATCTATGTTTTTGTTTGTTGTGACTCTGTTTGGTTGTTTGTTTTGGTTTGGTTTACAATAATCATAGTTGTCTCACTATGTTTTTTAGGCAGGCCTTGAACTCACTGTGTAGTCCAGGCTACACTCAAACTCACAGTGATGCTCCCACCTCAGCCTTCAGGAGTGCTGGAAGTGCTGGGATTATAAGCATGTGCCACCTTGCCCAACCACATCTTATCCACATGTCTGTACGTTTTTGTAACCTTTTGAAAGCTACATTGGCAGCTTTAAAAATTCTACCAAGATGAGCAAGAGGACCTATCTTCTGTAGCCAAATAAACTCCATTATCTAAGAAGTATAACTCATAAATTGTATTAAGCCAAGATACAAATGTTCTTGGTTCTAGAAGTGATTTAGGCATCAATTTTATCTTTTCTGCCATTTTATCTATTGTTTTCATTCCTCTGAGTATAATTTTGTTTTTGTTTCTAGTTTGTATACAACTAAAAAAGTTAGTCTGTTTTGCCAGTAGCAATGACTAGAAACTTGGTTTGATGGTGTGACTATCTAATGTTCTCTGTCAGGATCATGGGGTACTGTATTAAAAGCTAAAGAGAATAAGGCTTGGTAATTGTTTTTTAGTCTGTGAATCTGCGACCTCAAATCAACATTTAGAAATATTTTATGCCTACCAGAAAGAGGCACTGCCCTCTGAGATATGGATCACTGAGTGTGTTCTGCGTCAACTTTTGACGTATAATTGAAACTATAAAACTAAAGCTATAAATTCTGTGCATCTCTGAGTCGGGATTTCTCATTGTACAAAATCTGAAAGTCTTCCTCTTCTACAGAGTAATTAAAATTTTGATTAATATTAAAAGAGTTATTTTCATTTTGACTGCTTTATAAATAAGTCCTTTAAATCTAACAGCCCCCAAAATTCCCAGAAAATAAAAAATTAAATTTCTAACAATTTAAATATGCTAGCCTTAAAAAAAGTTCTCCCTCACAGAAATTCCTGGCTCAAAAGCATGGGGGAGGGATAGGTTTTTTCTTATGGAGGGAGTTGGTACCAGGTACCAAATTCAGGGCCTCATGCTTGCCAGGCAGGCACTGTGTCACTGAGCTATGTCCCCAGGCCTTAGAAGCATTTTTATATACAAATGTAATTTACAGTAATCGCATTAAATTCCTAACAAAATCAGACACATTTGAAAACCTAAGTTTTATAAAAAAGGTCTTCCTTTAGCTTGGTCAACATGGGTTTACATTCTCAAAAGACTAAACTCATGAATAAAAACAGTTCTATAATATCTTCTAATATTCAATCTATATTTGAATTTACCTAACAGTCCTGAATAAATACTCAAAATGTAATTCGGATTAACACTCTTAGCCATATTACAAAGTTGACCCTGACAACACAGCAAGTACCTGACAATCCCAATGCCGACACTATGGATATACACAGAAGGTCCTTTGCTAAAGGCTGGAAGGATAAATCACTGTCCTTCTCAGGCTGCAATTAAGATGCCCACAAAGGACAGGCCACAAGTTAATTACACATCATCATGGAGCAGGGTAATTAACAATACTTTTACATTAAAACAAACATATATAGGAGAATGGAAGACAAAATTTTGCATCAATTTCTACATAAACATAAGACTTTAAAAAAAAACAGGGTAAGCAAAATCTAAAGATACAAAAATCGCTCATCTTTGTTGACAGGAACATTAAATGGGAAAGGTTTTTAATGAGTAAATCTATAGCTCCAACTAAAAAAAGAAGTAGCAAACCAAGAAACTCACCTGTAACCTTGCAATCTCTTCCCCAAATTTCTTCTGCTGCTTTGCCAGGATAGACTGGTGGTACTCAGCATTGGCCTGCATGATACAGTGCTTTGCAGCCAAGACGGGGAACACCTCCTGGAAATAAAAATACTGACCAAGGGAGAGTCCAACCAAACAATCATCACAGACAACACGGGACGCAGGAAGAAAAAGGAAAAGGAGACAGAAATTAGAATCGCCCCGTTAATGGTTAGAGACAGGTTAGTTATTAGTGTAAATAGAGAAGATTCACATGATTTTGCAAGGATTGAATTCCATGAATTCAATTTTTTTCTTTCAATTAAAATTAAGTTTTTTTTAAACTGTTAACCTAAGCCAATTTAGGTTTTTCAAATTCACTTCAATTAAGCCATGAAGTCAGCAATTTGTTTACAAGGAAAAGGAACACATGCATTAGAAAGAGAAGTAGAATGGACATTCACAGGAATATCAAGCACGGGGCTTTAGAAGCTTCCTGAGGAGACCTTACCCAGCCCTCAGAGTTATCTAAACCACCATTACTCACATATACTAATGAAACTGTGCTATAGCTGTTTCAACATGTTTAAAAGACAAAAGACAGCAAAGTAAGTTCTCACTTAAATTCATGTCCTAAGAGTTTTCTTAAGAAAGCTATTTAGCCATAAAAAATGACTCAGTATCACATAAACACTAGTATTTTAGTTGCACACACTCAAATGCATTAAGTTAACAACGAATAATATAAAATATTATTTAGCCCTAACTGATTTTCAAAAGAATTCCAGTCAAAACTTTTAAAAATTCAAACACATGAACCAAACAGCCATTATGTTAAGCTTCTTCCAAAATGCCAAATCCTATCCTATAACCTCATTGCTTTTAGGAAGTACATTATTTTTTTAAAAAGAAATATACTAGACAATCACTGTCTAGACAAAAATATAAAAGAATCAAAAACTGAATTACTACCTTGAGTCTTTTCCTGTCTCCCAGTGAATAATTTCCTAGCTTCCTGGATCACTACTTGCAGATATTCCAGTTTTATAACTAGAATATGAAAATACCTTATGAGCTTTATTAGTAAAACGGAATAAACGACATCTACATCTCAAACTGCATTCACGCCAGTACTCAAGGTAAGGCTGGAGTAACTTTGTACTTAAACAGGAGATTGTCAAGGAATACCAGGAGTGCTGCAGAGGTAGTTTCCAAGTCTTTGTAGGAGACATTCTTCGTTCCGTAACAGGACTGAACTAATGGCCCAACAGGATGTAACGGTACACTGTGCAGCTGAACATGAGGTCTTTCAGATGAAAAAGAGGTGAGAAGAGATCCCAAGTCTCTTTTTAAGAGTAATGCGACCAAGACCTAAGAGTCCTGGGCAAATTTTTACTAAGCTTTTGGCATACTTTCAATTCCCAGGAATCTTAACATAATTCCTTATTGTTCATTTTCTCACTAAAGTACCCTTGTGATGGACATATGTGCAACTTTTCCCCTAAAGCTCCCTGTGATTTCATAATTTACAAATGTTTCTGAGTGACTTACAAATTTGTAAGTTCTCCTATAAAGTCATATAACAAATACCATTTGCTACCATATAGGTGCAACTAATTCCTTGAATACTTCTTAAATACCTGAAACATGTATGTCACTCAATTTCTTTCTTTTTTAACCCTTCCAATATAACTCATTAGTCTAATCAATAGTTTTGTCATTTACAAATGATCATCTCCAACCAGTCTTTTCAAATGTCACTTGAGAAAAGTATACATTTAAACATCATACTTCCTGTGATACGTGTTTTAAGATGGTTGCTTTTCTTAGCTGTGCTTTAGCAGTCCAATTTTTTACCTGCTGGCAAAACTTAATTCTAATCAAAGTATTGGATGAACTTAAGTTTTCTTTTCTTTTTTTTCTTTATATCTGTTTTTGTGATTTAAGATTCATCTTTAAGAAAACAGGACAGTAATTAAAATATGAATAAGCAACATGCTCACGTTCTCATGCTTGTACCAAATCAATGATGATTCAGAATGACACAATGCCTTGTCTGATTAAATTACTGAAAACAGATAGTCAAAGTTTTCCAGGAAGAGTTTTAGCTTGGAAAAACAAGTTTAGTAAAAAGTAAAGACAAAGGTATCCCCTAAATATAAAAGAATTGTTCATGCATCTTAAATTCAAAATCTGTTTCTACCAATATAGTCTTCAAATATTTCTATAAAATTTTTAATATCCTTAGGATGCATAGTTTTTAATTTGCTTCTTATACATGGTATTTCCACAAGCAAAACAACTACATATTTATTAAACAATGACTGACCTTGGGGAGAGTGTCTTTGTACTGACACTGCTTGAAAGCATCACCAAAGTAATCTGCAGCCTGATTAGCCAATTTAGCTATGATGGCATCTTTCATTTTATCTGGAATAAAGCATTAAATTGACCATTATAATTAAAATAAATGAGAGAAACTGATATATGACTCAGTTAATACAGACACTGCGATCAAAAGTTAATAATCTGTCACCTGGGATATAGCTCAGTGGCATAAGCACCTGCTTGGCAAGTACAAAGCCCTGAGTTCAATTCCCAGTTCCAAAAGTTTATAATTTGTCTGTAAAAATCCTTTTTGTGGGCTGGGGATTTAGTTCATTGGCATAAGCGCCTGCCTGGCAAGTGCGAGGTCGTGAGTTTGATCCCTGGTACCACCAAAAAAACAACAACAAAAAAATCCTTATTGGTGAAATTAAGACTTCTGCATAAAACTACCTATTCCATAGGCAAATCCAAAGGGATAGAAAATAGATTAATGGATGCTAACCACTGGGAAAAAAGGAAGTAAGAAGTAATTATTAACACATGTTCAGTTACTTTTGGGGATGATAATGTTCTAAAATAAGATGTTGCTAATGGTTGAAAACTTGACTACACTAAAAAACACTGAATAACTTTGAAAAGGTGAATTTTGGTGTCTATGAATTCCATCCCGTTATTTTAAAAGAAAAAGATTATTCTACTTCATACCTTTTCTACATGATGACTGTGCTCTTACTTTAATCTCCCTGCATGAGTGAATATTCAGCCTATATTCTGTCTTCTCATACTAATTTACATGTCTTAGAAAACTGTTCTCCTTACCCTCTCCACCAGAGACTCTGCCTGGATAGCTCCTTCCTGTCACTGAAGAAGCTTGTCTTGATTAATGAATATAAAATTAACAGGACTCCCTCTAAATCTCTACATCACAAACAACCAGTCACTATCACATGATCCACTCAAATTTTCCTCACTGCAGCAATCTCATTCTGAAATCAATTGCCATTAATTTTTTGTTTATCATCTCCCCTACACTAAAATGTTAGCTTCCTAGAAACAGATGTCTTGCTTGTCTATTAACTCTTATCTAAAAACTACAGCAATGCCTACAATACATTAAGCACAAAATAAATTTTTGCTAAATCAATGGTTTACAGTATTACAAACATACTGTATATATATATATATATATATATATATATATATATATACACTATTTCAACCAAGTGTGGTGGGCCACACCTCTAATCCTAGCACTCAGGAGACTGAGGCAGGAGCTTCAGGAGGATAGCTGTGAGTTTGAGGCCAGCCTGGGCTACACAGTGAGTTCAAGACCAGCCTAGGCTACATAGCGATACCCTGTCTCAAAAAACAAAATATAAATGAATGAATAAACAGTATTTCAAAATCCAGCATTTAAAAATAACAGCTAACTGTTCATTTCACAAGCCTTAAAACACTGTCCATAATTTTGTAGTACAAAAAAAAGCTAAAATCTTTTAACAATCTCTATATTATCTTCAAAAAGGAAAGGCTACATAGAACGTATTATATTCTAATCACTTTCATTTAAACACTTACTACTTCTTTTACATTCAAAAATTAAAGTTACCTCTTGTAGCTTTTAAAAAAAATACTTCTTGGGCCTGTGCCAGCATGATAAGACTGAGGGTCCCAACAGTATCTGGAGATATGTCCACAGTAGGCTCTCGACTTAAGGCAGATAAAACCGTCTCCTTAATATGTAAAAAGGCACCACTAGCAAACTAAAAGGGGGAGAGAAAAGTTTTAAATCTGTAAGTGCTCAGCAAGACTTTATTTTTTACTATAACACACAAAAATAATTTCAAACGTCAATTCTGTGAGCAACTAGTATGTTTAATTTCATATGCTATAAAACCAATCTAAAAATATCTGACCTACAGACAATAAGCTTATCTTTCAAAAATTCTACAGAGGGAAGCTGAGGCAAGAGGCTCACCATGAGTTCAAGACCAGCCTGGGCTATAGAATAAAGAGGTTTAACAAAGATTAAAAGTACATTACAGGAAACTGGGCATGGTAGCACATGCCTATAATACCAGCACTCTAGGGACTGAGATAGGAGAATCACAAATTGAAAACCAGCCTGGGTGATTTACCTAGAACCTGTCTCAAAACAAAACATAAAAAAAGGAATGAGGGTATAAGCCAGTGCAGAGGCTCTGGGTTCAACCACTAGTACGGGGCTGGGGGGGGGGGGGGGATAAATTACAGGGAAAAACAAAATAAACTAATGGCAAAAATGGTTAGGCTTATTTATTTTTAGATACATTTCTTCAAAGTTTACCTACCTATAAATATAGGAAATGGAATACATTAATGAAATTTAAGTGCTTAAATGCTCTTGCTTTAGCCCCAAACTCATCTCTCAAATAAGCTTGATATGGTGAAGCTGTACCCTTTGTTCCCTGAAGAAGAGCATTACTATCCATTGATCATCATTTCTGTTTGGCTGTTGGAGTTTCTTGGTGAAATGTTCCCCGTTAAATTTTCATCTCACAGATATTTTATTAATAATGATAATACTAAAATAGATCTGTTTTGTGAAAAAACTTATACTGTGAAAGAAGAAAGTCCTGGACTTACAAGAGAGACATGCAGTTTACACAGAGATAATTCAAAGTTAACTGTACTACAATGAATATCACACTTTATGCATTTATAAAGTCCTATAAAACTACCTGCAAAGATTGTTTAGCTGGCCTTGGTTAGTGACCAGCAGAATTACAGACAAGCAGGAGTTGAGGAGTTGAGTCTCTTATACACAGAGAAGGAATCAGATAGAGAAGTATTAAAGAACTTGCTCAGTGGCAGACAATGGCTTCTGGGTGGCAAACTGCCCAGACAAGGAACAAAGCCTAATAATACTTTTCTTTCTCTCATGTGATGTGGCCTGCTGTGAGGACTAACAGAATGGAGTATTTCCTAAATAATCCAAAATTATTTCCTTGATCTCCCATGCCAACTAATTGTTATACTTAACAAAAAGCTAAATAAAATTGTATCTCATTTTCATATTTTAAAATATTTGCTGCTTATGGTCCAAAAAGAAGTAGTATATGTGTTATACCTGTCATTTAACCCCATCCAAACTATACAGTAAGTCATTACTTTGGTGTATGTTGTTAAATTGTACTTTCCTTTCACTTTCCTAAAGTAGAATTCTTGTCTCCCCTGAATTTAAATAATGGTAAGAATCAGATTCAGAGCCCCACGACAAGCAAATTCCGCAGAGACACAGAGGAAAGAACACCTGGAAATGTGAAATGCAGCATAAGAACACCTGAAATGCAAATGAACCCCGTATCTATAAAATGTGAATGCTACTTTATATGACGTTCATCACATAATGAGTCAAATAACACATGAAATTACTTTGTAAATTGTAAAGTAATACAAAATATGGAAACAATTATATATGATATCTTTTAATATAATCACTTATGCTCTTTAAACGAAAACAAGTAAGAACTGGTTAAAATGATAAGTGCCACAAAAATAACAACTCAGCGAACAATTAGTGCCTAAAACAGAGTTAGCCATCTTATGATCATTATATATCTGACCAAGTTTAAACACGACCTCTCCATAAGTCTCAGAATTAAACTTATTTTCTTGCCAAAGTTCTTCATTTTTGTGATACCAATGAAATTTCAGTGTTTCACTCTATGACTCTATGAAGTATAAAAAATAATGCACAGATGCTTTAAATTAGATCATTTGCTTAAAAGGCATTCACCATAAATGTATATAATTTTGCCTTATACATTTATCCTATTGACATTCATTGGGCCTCTATTCTGTGCCAGGTACTGTACTAGTGCTGAGTATCTAATGGGGAGGAAAAGCAGATTAGCTATAAGTAGGTAATTTATTTATTGCTACACGGTTTAATAATAAGAATCAATTAATTTCAAAAAAGACTCACTTTTCAAAAACACATCTGTTGTATAAAGCATCCATAAGCCTAAATGTACATTATTTTCAATTTAATCTAACTTATATTGATCATTAAGCAGTAACTATTTTTCTGCATACCTGGTAATGTTTAGCAGCAATTTTCAATCCTTCGTCATTATCCAGGTTCTGTTCTGCTGCAATCTGGCTAGCTAAGGCTGCACAATTGAACAACACACAACTCTTTTCATATCCTAAGCTTGCAAGAGCTGTAAAAAATTGAGAAGAAAGTTTATCCGATTATTTTTTCTAAGGAAAATAAAGGTTTCAAAGGCAAATACTATACATTTTCTATCCTACTGCCTCTCAAAAGATTCCAGAGCAGTTTTCTCACGTACTTAGAGCTGCCCAGCCAACCATTTACTTCCACAATAGTCCCATCATCAAAAACTCAAAAACTATCAGAGGCTGGGTGTTTGGCTCAATTGTACAATGCTTGTCTAACATGTCTGAGGCCCTAGGTTCAATCTCCAGCAACACCAAAATATTTCTCATCACCTCTCAAAATTGCATCTTCCCACCACATTTAAGTTAGTATACCATTACTACGAACCTGAGTCATCTATCAAAGGGCTACAATACAACTGTGAGTAACAATTTACAACTCTGGGCTGGGGATTTAGCTCAGGGGCCTAAAGCGCAAGGTCATGAGTTCAATTCCTGGTACCAAAAAAAAAAAAAGAATTTACAACTTCACATCCACCATCATAGCTACTGGTAAAAAACAGAAATAACTATAAACAAGAGAAATGTGTAAAGAAATTGGAATCTTTTGTACACTGCTGATGGAAATACAAAATGCAGCTTCTGCAGAAAAGAGTACAGTGAGTTCTCAAAAAATTAAAAATAGAATTACCACATGATCCAAATATTTCACTTTGGGTATATCCCAAAAAACATAAAAGTAGGGTCTCAAAGACATATGTGTATACCCATGCTTATAGTAACATTATTTACAATAGCTAAAAGGTACAAAGCAACTCAGTCCATCAATCGATACATGGATAAACCAAGTGGTATACATATACTGAAATAGCATTCAACTTTAAAAGAAAGAGAAAAACACAGGTTCATATGGAATCATAAGGATACTTGACTAAGTGAAATAAATCAATCATGAAAAGACAAACACTACATGATTCCATTACATAAAATATTTAGTAGTTAGCCACACAGAAACAAAGCAAGTGAGAGAGCGGAGAAGATGGCGGATAGATAACAGCAGCTACAGAGGCTCTCTTGAGATAGCCAGCTTAGATTCCAGGAATGGTGCAGTGTGGGGAGTCCTAAGTAGGGGGAGATATACCCTCCTGACCCAGGAATGAACTAAGCTGAGAGAAAACAATCGGAAATGCAATCCCGGTGCTGCGATTAGAACAGCTAGTCTCGCTGCTGCCACTGGAACCCATGGCTTGAATACCCTGCCACTGCCACACCTGAATTGGCACAGCTGGGATAGCCTGCTAGTTTCGACTCATCAGAGACACAAACACACTGAGAGCGGGAATCAGTGAACCGAACTGGGAGTGGAGCTGGCGGGGTGCCCTGCATCGACCTGCAGTGGGTGAGAGGAATGGGGACCCTTCCAACAGAAGCTCCAACAGAGGACATTCTGGGACTCGGCAGACTGGCCGGAACAGGGCACTACAGTAACATCAGTCACATATTCCCCTCTAAAGCAGGATTGGTGGGGAGTGCTTGACCTGGGTAACGCCATGGACTGAGGCCCAGTAGGCTAGCGCAAATCAAGTCCCTGTGCCTGGTAGTGCAATCTAATGCAGTGAAGCCTTCAGTAGGTTAACCTGGAGGGGCGGGCACAGCATAGGCTGCCCAGGTCTGTACCTCCTAGTACATTGCAGTGGGTGGGACCACCTAGTCAGCGCACTTCAGACAAACTGAAACTGACAAAGAAAGAAACTGGGCCTCCTATATTATACACCTGTATGGAAGGAACAAAAAATATGAGAAGAGGAGGCAACAAGAAAGGGTCCTTAGTCCCCAATCCTGAGAACACTGATCCAGGAAAGGTAAATGCAAAGGAGAATGAGGACAGAAAACATGCAATATCAGGCATAGCACCAATAGACATAAAGCGATATCTTAGGGACCTCATAGCCGAGTTCAAAAGTGAAGTATTTAACCAAGTAAAGCAAGATATAAGTAGAATAGTTAAAGAAATGCTAAGCATTTCCCAAGAAAAAACAGATGGTAGAATGGAAGAACGAAAAAAAGGGGAAAATTGTTTGATGGAGAAAATAGAGAAAACATGTTAGAATACGTGAAGCAGGTTCAAAGAGATTACCAGGAAACTAAAAAATCTATTGAAAGCTGTCATAACAGCCTGAAAAGACATTTAAGGATAGATTATCTGAACTGGAGGATAGATTTGTAATGTGGGAGCATGAAAGGAAAAACTTCTTTAAAATAACAAGAAAACAAGCAGTAACAATACAAAGGCTAGAAGATGACAAAAGAATCTATAACTTAAGAATAAAGAATGTGAGAGAAGGGGCTGGGGATTTAGCTCAGCAGCATAAGCACCTGCTTTGCAAATCTGTGGTCATGAGTTCAATCCCTGGTACCAATAAAAAAGAAAAAGACCAAAAAAAAAAAAAAAAAAGAATGTGAGAGAAGAAGCAGGGGTAAAACAAAGGAACTGCAAGGCTAATCACAGAAATAATGAGGGAAAACTTCCCAAACATAGCAAAAGAGAAAGATGCTCAGCCACCTACAATCAAAACAGAACTGCACCAGGCATACAATAATCAAGATTCCAGAAATTCAATATAAGAACAGAATATTAAAAGCTGTCAGAGAAAAGAAACAGATCATTTACAAGGGAACACCCATCAGAATTCAGCAGATTTCTCAGCACAAACCATCAAATCTCAAAGAGCGTGGGCGGAAATAATTCGAGCCTTTAAAGACAATAACCTCCAGCCAAGACTGATATATCCTGCACAACTGTCCCTAGAAATTTATGGAGAAACAAGGTGCTTCCAAGATAAAGAGGAACTGGGGGAATTTGCAACCACCAATCCAACTCTACAGAGAATACTATAGGACATTCAAAAGAGAGAGAAAAGCACAAGGATTTCAGAACAGTGGCAGAGAGGCCACAATGCATGAAGCAGAAAGCGAAATGAAAAAGACAGACAACTAATGACAGAAAAAGAGCACAACAGAAACGAGGCAAAGAAGGTTGGATATAATTTCTAATATAGATGGCCTAAATACAAGAGAATCGCAGGCAGAGTGGATAAAGAGGTTGGGTCCACCAAGAGACTCCTTATAGGAAATATAATTAGCCTGAAGAAGATTATATAGACTAAAGTTAAATATGAGAAAATGGAACTCAAAGTAATAGGGAACCAGAGAGTAATAGAGGTAACTGCGCCAGTATTTATGGCTAGGTTGGACAGACAAGCTTTAATAAACAAAGAAATATAACTAGAAATCCAACCCAGGAACGAGAAAGTACAGAAATACTTAGGTAAATAGCAGGTTGCCCCCCCCCAATATAAAACCATGAGTGATGGGGAGACCCAAAAATACACAGTTCATTCTGGGGGAGGAAAGGGGAGGAATAGTCTTAAAAAAAAAAAAAAAAAAACAGCAGAGGATATAGCAAATAGTGTATCAGGAATTAAAACCCTTATTACTCGCACCACTCTGCTTGGTTGGAACTTGTTCCATCCTAGTTTGTATACAAGCACTGGATCTAAGGGCACAGACAGCTGTCCCCAAGATATAGGACATAGCACAGTGGTCATCTTTAATTTCCTGTTAACTCAGTCCAGATCCCTGTATGACTTATGCTGTTGTATCATGATTGATCTTAGTTAAATCTGACTTGTTTAAATACTGATTATTGACAGATTTTAATCAAAACTGTTAGGTTGCTGGTATCAAGTTGAGGAGTATAGACAATTATACTGAAAATGACAATGATTCACCATGATATCCATTCTGATTTGACTGCTACCTGTTTTTGTAGATCTATACTATACAAAGTTATATTTCTGTTAATCCTGTTATGTACTGATATGTTCAATTATACTTTATCTGATAATATAGCCAATTTGGTTGATGATAACAAGAAACAGCATAGTAACCATGGTAGAACTCCTTATACAGCAGTTTTATATGTCTTTTTAGTTTTATGTGTCTATAGAAATATGTTTAGTTCTGTCCTGCTTTGTTCTGTTTCTCCCTCTAATATAGAAAGAATAGAAATACATGTTAAGACTCATGCTTGCGTAAAACCTATAAACAGTTTATGAGAACTGATCTTATGACATATGATGAAAAGAATAAAAACTTTGAAGGAAAGAAAGGGGCACTGCAGTACCCAGTGCTGATTCCGGAGTGTTATGATGTGATATCCAGCAATATTATTAATCTTTGTTCAGAAGGATTTTAATCTAATCAGTTTTGTTAGCTCTCAACATAAATGAAGATATGGATAAATGCGTACATGTCTAAGTGTATAGGATTGATAGCCATATTACTTAGTTTTTGTTGGATAGTTGAACAGAATGGTTTGCAGTCTCCCCAGTTGAATTCCCATTTATATGTTCCACTTTTGTATCTTGAACAATTATTTGGGGGGGGGGGCAATATGTATACATCAACTAGTGATTTATTACTGTTTATTTCTTTTCTTTGAAAGTATGCACTATTTCTGCCCATTTTCTATACTGTTTTATCTTTCTCTAAAAAAAAGAAAGAAAGAAAGTAGGTGGTCATATGAGGGAAGGGAATGGGTGGCAGCTTTTAATGAGAGTGTACATTGTTTCAGATATACAAGATGAAACCTTCTGGAGGTCTGTTTCACAACAATGTGAATATACCTTAGATACTGAACTATACCCTTAAAAATAGTTAAGATGCAAAATTTCATATCATATTTTTTTAATTTCTTTATAATGTTATATATTTCTTACATTTTTTTTTTTAAAAAGACCAACACGCTATGATTCTACTTGCATGAGTTATCTGGAGTAAATTCAGATACAGAAAGTATAATTATAGTTGCCAGGGGCTGGTAGGGAGAAGAGAGTGGAAAGTTACTGTTTAATAGGTACAGGGTTTCAGTTTTGTTAGAGTTCTAGAAACAGATGGTAGTGATGGCTGAACAATAAATAAGTGAATAATATTTATACTACTGAATAATATAATATTCATACTACTGAATGGCACACTTATC